ATAGTACTCTTGCGGCAATAAAAAATATGGACTAAGCAATGAAATGATCGTATGGGGAGTAAATGAAAGGTTAGTTGTAGTCCATGAGTTTGTGCATCTATGTCATGGCACCCTATCACGGCATAAGAACAGTTTCTTCCCGACCGCGGCCCGCCTCATCAATAAGGCCAGGAACACTCACTCAAATCCCATTTCCCCATCCTAACACAAGTATGTTACATATGTATATATTCCACCCTGAACATACCCCATGTACATTTTATTTATATTATATATTTATATGCTGATATATCTACCTCCACATCTCTGGCACCAACCACCAAAGCAAATTCCTTGTATGTGTGAACGTACTTGGCAATAAACCCGATTCTGATTCTGATTCTGATTCTGATTTTTAATGATCAAATAATCAAGGTGAATCAAGTAATCATGACAGCTTGATAAAGATGCAAAATATATTGATCAACATACCAATTTTGCTGGCTGATATTTTAACTTTATCAATGTTCATAGTCAGCAGCACCAGAGCTAAAGACAACTACTAAAATAATGGAGATGATTGCAATGAAAGATTAGCAATTTTCTGTAGTGGAAGATGAGCAATTTTGTCGGTTCATTCACAACTGCTTATTCTGAAGAAAAGGAGAATATCCCATTTTCCTCTGGTGTAACTTACAATGCTATATTCAAATCTGTCTTGGGTGAATTTTAAAGAATAGGCTGCTTTTTGTAAGATCAATAGATTTGGATGTGCGGTACTTTTAAAACCAAGTATTTTGGAGTAGTATTTTATTGACTTTTACTTTCACTCAAGTTACTTAAGTATGAAAATTGAGTACTCTTCCGGCCATTCACAAATGCAATTAATTCATTCAATAATTCAGTCAATAATTTCATTGTGCATACTGAACTAATATTGATGTACCAATCTGTACACGGCAAATATGTGTAGGCTACCTTTCCAACCTGTGTGTAGCTCTAAGAGGCACTACACCCTCGAAATCTTCAAAAAATTTCACTCAAAACCACATTGCATGGTTTTCCAGAACTAATAATCAGCAAATTATTCAGACAGTTCACGACAATGACCATCACCAACACCGTACGTAACTGTCACCAAAACGGCCTCAGCTTAATACTCACCTGCAGCTCCTGGTTCCGTGAATTCGACAGCCAATAGTTGAAACCCAGCACGATGATGCAAGTGATGAAAGCACCTATCAGGAGGGGTGGTGATCTTCCACCTCTGCGGCTGTTTCCTAAAGCTCCCATGATGTTGAACAGTTTGGGTTGGTGGCCTGCACACATATTTACATATATGTAATCGTTTTATTACCTTGTAACTAGTCTGTAGGGCTGGCAAACTACCCCAACGTCTTTGATGTAGCTAATTTTAGGTTTATAATGCAATACAGTAAAATCATCTTATAACGGACTTCAAGGGACCTGGCAAAACAGTCGGTTATTACCAAAGTCCGTTATATCCAGAGTTGCTGTATGCCCAGAACACAACTACAGGACCCCATTTACTCATGCCACACCCCAGCAGACACACTTGTGGTATAGATTATTATATTGTACATGTAGTAATCCAACTTTACCTGACCAGATGCGTGACTATTGATAATCATGCCTACGTATCTGCGCTAGATATCACCGGCACGCCAAACGCTTTGTAGGCGGAGCTGCATGTCCGTTATAGCAGAACAAAACTACAGCTAAAAGCGGCCCTGGGACCAAACTGTTTGTCCGTTATAAGCGAAATTCCGTTACATGCGAGTCCGCTATATCCGATGCTTTTTTTGCATGTTCTTAAAGGCGCCCGGCCTGGACCAGCGGACCTCGTCCGTTATAGAAGATATTCCGTTAAAAGCAAGTCCATTATAACGGGATTTTACTGTAATACAGATTTACAATAAGACAGAGTCTGAAAGCGTGAGTGTCACGGCCGGTGCGTGAGAGTCACAGCCGGTGCGTGAGAGTAGGCAACCCAGTCAGCCGCCCTGGGGGGCCCCCTCCCAGCTCCCCTCCCAGGTCCTGGGGGGCCCCCTCCCAGCTCGGGGCCTCAGGCCATTACTTGCCCTGCCTGTCCTGTTGCTGCGCCTCTGCTAATATTTAGTCAAAATATTGTGTTCAGATTAAATGTAGCTATATACAGTGAATGGAAGAAAAATAATTTAATATAATTATTTAATCTATCATTATCTAGGCAGGTTTCCCGTTTGAGCAGGGCCCCCTGGAGCGACGGATCTGGGTATCCCTCCCAAATTGACATGCCGATCCTCTGATGAAATATTAGAAATATAAGGTTCGTAATGCTTGATCGATGCTCTCATCCGAATCACATTCACAGTTAAAACTAATTAAAATCTTTACGTGAGACGTGATATTCAGCGCGTTTCACTGGGAGCATACCATTTAATATGCAGTAAGCTTTTGTCATTAATTTCACATAGTATTATTGTACGTTTCGTTTACCAACGTTCAGATATACCGGCTTAATAAAATACTAGGAAAGCAGTGACTCGACCCAAAGGACCCGTTTTCCCGAAACAGGTTCCTAATGGGAGCTGGTGAGCTACCTGCGAGTGTTACTTTGGGGAAACCCTCAACATCACCGGGGCGCCCAGGCGGACAAACAAAGCAGCCCCTACACAAGCCGAGGCGCTGGGCTAACACTTTCTCATCTCCAGTGATGCATGCAAAATTATAATAACTAATTAATTAACTAAACAGTGATTAAAATGATCAGCGAGATGATATCCCGAACATAGAGATTAAAGCTCGGTGCCCCTAGCCTACACAGTGTAGCAGGAGAGCATATCTCCTACCATAATCAATAGCTTATTCTATTGTAGGTTGGCCACCGAGTCACTCCGAACACCCCCTTTATTATTCCCTGGTGCATATCGGTTCATGTATACCTGATTTCAGATATTTGAAGACATACATGAGGTAGGAAGAACCACCACCAGTAAAACTCTCTTTAGATAAGTCAGACTACTTACTTCAGCGGGGAAAAACAAGGAGATGGCACCGGATCGAGTTAAAGTAAAATGTCCAGATTGTTATTTCGATCTTCAGCTGGTTAAAGGTTCTTATAAAGACGCTACAAAGTACCCATCATAACATACAAATACGGATAAAGCCACCGTGTTCAGCTCTAGGCAGCCGAGGGAGCGGACAGGAAGCGTGCGGAGGAGGGGCTACGGAAGTTAACAAAGTCTAAGCCGGCATCTCAGGCCCGGAAAAAGCCGCTCAGTCCACCGAGGAGAAGCTCTCCGACCGCCGAAGGGGCCGCCAGCTGACTGGCAGGCGATCTGTTTGTTTAATCACAGAGCTGAACACTGAATAATGGCGCGAAAGAATTATTTAGGCTCCAAATGGCTTTTAAATATGCGGACGTCAGAATTCGCAATTAAAATAACCTCCGGTTTGAAATTGTTGTGAGATTATTATTGGGAGTCAAACGAATATTCTATTGTTTTTCTTTTAAACGATGACACAAACCCATAAATCCAATACTAGACATCCAGATGCATATAAGACATACTTGAAGTTAAACAGAGAACAAATGTTTTATTATGCACTATAAGATGTTGACGACTTGATTGTGTTAACAAGTGTAATAAGCTATACTGACCAGTTGTAATTTGAATGGTAAATTAACAAGCTATTAAGTTAGAAAAACATTTGGTGTTTGTATGGTCCAACCACTGGATGGCATGCTCAAGCACACATATATACATCCATCCCATCTATTTTCTAACCACTTATTGTCATGGCTGGAATGGACTAAATAAGAAGTGGGGCGCTTTGCCTTTCCAGTCAGCATCAGTCATTGTTGAAGTGTTGTCATACAAGTCCTGATCTGTGTTTAGTGAGATATTGGTCCATTCTTTAAGAAGAAAAGTCTCGTGCAAGCAGGGGAGTAGCTAGACATTCTGCATACCCCCCCCCCCCCCCCCTTACATTATACAGTGGTACCTCAGAACTCGAATTTAATCCGTTCAGAACTCCAGATCGAATCCTAAAAAGTTCGAGTTGTGATCGAACTTTCCCCATAAGAAATAATGGAAAACCAATTAATTGCTTAATTAATTCCTGGCCCCAAAAAATTTACACCTAAATATGTTATTTTTTTTAGCATTTAAACACAAAATGAACCGGATAAAACAAGATGAGCATATACTGTACTAAACACATCTAAGCACATTTATCAAAACAGTAATTTGTAAAGTAAGAAAATCCAAACAAATGTATCCAAACAATGTGTCCTGCCCTGATTGTCCGCTCCTTCCGTGTGTAACGCCCCCTCGTTAACCCCCTGTTGAATCCCCCTGTGATCAGCTAGCTGTTTCTGGTTGTTGTCATTAGTCCTCTGTATTTCGTCTGCATTTCAGTTTGTTTCCCCACTCCGGTCATTGTATTGTACGTCTGCGTTTTGCCTGCCTTACCTGTAATTAAACCCCGTATTCCCCGATACCCTGACATCTGAGCCTTTGTCTCCGTTTTGTCCCCGATCGGCACAACAGTATTATTATAATTAAACGTATTAATGGTTTATTATTAATATTACAATAATTAATAAGAAATCTTTATTTTTAAATGTATTTTATTATATAATAATAATTACTGTTACTGTCTATCATTGTCTAAATGTATTTTTACTGTCTAAATATATGTATTCAGATAGTGTAAACATGCACAGGGCTATCACACCTAATGCTAGGCTGAGACTGAAACTTTTCCCTTTGTTTCCGCTGAGAGAAACAAAGGGAAAACTTTTCCCTTTGTTTCACGGTTTGGCTTCTGAGATTCAGATCGAGCTCTAGGTAATTTTTTTTTTCGAATTGGTTGGTTTGACTTTTAAGAAATTCGAGTTCTAATGAGTTTGAGAACTGAGGTACCACTGTATAACTATAATTTTATGTATTCAAGGGCCCCTGTAAAGTGCTGGGCCCCCGGAATCTGTCAGTGTATCCATGCCCCGCCATCGCCCCTGCATGTTGGGACAACATGTAATTTCCAAACAAGGCCAGGGATAGGTGTGAGGATACGACACAACCACTATTATTTTTAATCTTATTTCCTACTGACAAGCCGAGTCCCAGTGAGTCACTGACTTTGCTTTGTAGATATCCAGCAGAGTTGATGAGAAGCAGGGCCACACAACACTGTCTGTCACAGTAGGTCAAATGCACTTTATGGACAGTGGGCTATGAATCACCTACACAAAGTTCTACTAAGACAAAAAATTCCACATGAAAACTGTTAAATTATAGTATGAACTATTAAGCCTAAACATAAATGCTGTTATGGCTTTTCCACCGCAACAGGTACCATACTTTTGGTATTTCAAGCTGTTAGTTTTCCACTGGCATAAAAACTGGCACCGTCACTGAATGATACCACAGCACAAGGCGGGGAATTTTGCACTGATTTAAAAAATGGCTGTACTATATTATAGGGCTGGATGATGTGCGATATTAATACCAGCATCACATTTTATGCACATGCAATTTTAACATCGCTAGTCAGCTAGATTTCTACATCAGGCTTTTTCTTACCTTCTCTTCTGTACAGACATGGAGTGTCTGTGCAGGGAGTTTAAGTTTCAGTAAAACATTTTTCTCTGTCACAGGAAAAAAAATCTTAGCAAGTTTTGCAATTTTAATTATTATTCCTTTTAAAGATTATCTAGTATATGTTTAAAAATCAGTTTAAAATTGACCTCCTCTGCTTTTGCATGAGCGCTGCATGCATTCTCTGATTGTCAGTTTTGGTGCATGTTTGGCTCTGTCCCAGGTGTCTTTTTTCCATTTGGCCAGCAGTTCCCACTGGCCATCCTGTATTTTGTTCCCCTGGGACCGCGAAGGGTCAAAAATAAACAATTTGGTTAATTGGCTAATTTGGTTACGATTCTCACCTGCTCTACATCGTGTCTTGTTAGCTGTGTATTTAAGTGCCTGTTCTGATTCTGTTTAATCAGTCATTGTTGTTGTTACTGTGTTAGTAGCTGTGGTTGGTTTGTTAGCTCTGTTCCCTATCCCTAGTCGTGTTTATTGTGTGGTTTCCTTAGTTTGTTCTATATTTTTTTCCTGTTTGTTTTTTGCCCCTCATGGTCCCATTATTTTGTGGTTTCCCCTTTTCTGTTCAGTTCTGTTTATCAATAACTGCCTTTTTTGGAGCTGCTCTGCAGGTCGTCCCTCTTTTCCTGCTTGCACCACGCCCTGCTGTAACACTTTTCAGACTTTTCAGTGAGAGTGCTCTGAAATTTAGGATTCCCCCTCGATTATTTTTATTTCAGTTTTATTTCTACTGCAACACCCTAACACAGAAACAACTGACAACAACATGTGCACACACACTCAGTACATAGTGCCACTAAGCAGCAGTTACAAGGACATTCAATGTTACACATGAGACAAGATATTAAAATCATAGTATTCACACATTACAAATAAAAATTCAAAAATAAATCTCAGAAATTTCTTGGGGGTACTATGCCTCTCATAAGGGTGGCTATAGCACCCCCAAGCCCTTCCCTGGTGCCCTTCCCTGGTGCCACCCCTGGCACTGAGAACCCAAACACACATTACATTGCATTAAGTCAACCAACACATAGGTTCTTCTGTAATGTTTTTAGCTCAGAACAAGCAAGCTGTGCTACATGTGTCATTTGTCAGGCTCCATACACTATTAAATGACAACGAAGATACTTTTGTGCTTAAAAATGGTTCTTTAATCAGTATGATATTTTTAAATAAATAAGTTATTTGTTTGGAATGCTTAACTGAGTTAGACCATTTTTTTAGTACATTTGTTTGGTAACTATGATCATAATAGGAATATTCACATTCATTTAAATGACAGATTGGTTGCCAAATATACAAACCGTTAGAGATTACAATTCATTGTTAACATCATTGTTGACTTTGTCCCAGAATTATTGTGCATTTAATTTAAAAGCAAACATTTTAATTTCATAATTGTCAGAGGTTTGCTGAAACACAAGAACTATCAATAGAGCTCAACATTTATGCGGTTAAATATTAATTTTCTGCTTCTATAAAAGGGCAGTTGGTCTTTTGCTGGCTCTATGTTCCAGATGAAAGGAACTGCATCTCGGTGTTAGCCATGGCTTCCCTGATGCTGCCCACCCTCTGTTTGAAGATGAAAGGGAAGGCATTTTTAAAGGACTTTCTGAAGTTGGCCCCCATGAAGGCATAGACGATGGGATTAACCGAGGAGTTAGCATAGGACATGCAGTGAGCCCAGATCTTGATCTTGTAGAGTGCGTAGTTTTTGCGGAAGTTTGGGTAGAAGGCTTGGTACAGGATAAAGAACTGAATAGGACCCCAGCAGACAGTGAAGAGCACCACGATCACTACCACCATCTTGGAGATCTTGGCACGCACTGCCTCTGACCTCTCTGCCAGCTGGAGGGAGAACAGGATTAGTACTCTCATCTACTGGATCAATAGTACTTTATGTCCCTCAATCAATCAGTTAAACTAATTCAATTCATCTTTCATACAAATGATTTTAATCACTAAAAACACACATTGAGGCCATGCAGGGTTAGAATTTGTTATCTCTGTTTTACATTACTGATTAGAGTTCTGTCTATTTCTGTCATCTGCTTACCTCTTTATGGATACAAGGCCATCTTGATAATTTATTCTGAGATATTAAATACCACACCCACGTCTGGTAACTTTTCAGACAACAAATAATTGTCTTTGCAAAAACATACTTTGTGTATTCAGTGATCATCATCAAAAGAACAAATCATTCAAGTCAGCCATAATGAAGTCCAGACCAATGGGGAGAGCTGGAAGCGAGGGTCTGCTCACCTGATAGTTGTTATCAGTGGGCTCCACCACTGGCTGGCCCATACGCTTCAGCATGAAGGCATAGCAGAAGCAGATAGTCAGGAGGGGCAGGAGGTACACGGCCAGGAAGGTGTAGAGGATGAATGCTTGCTGATGCAGCACAGATGGAAAGGACTCGGTGCAGTATGTCTGGGGGCCAAACCAGTATCCAACATCAAGTTTCTGGTACATTGCTACTGGCACAGAAAGGACAAATGACCCTGTGGAAAAAGAGAGAAGAAATTAATCGATCATCAAGTGACCTTGCAGAAATTTAACCTGGGAGCTTAAATTCATTAGAACCCTACTGTAATTGCAATTAATAACTATCGTTAAAAGCAGTGATGGAACAGAATATTTTTTGCTATATCATAGCATATACTATTTTACGAATTTATATCACTTCCTACTAAATCATTGTGACGGTTAACTAATATGTTGGTGTTAACAGATGTTTTATCCTGCATTTTATTAATTTGCTCAAGCCTTAAGAGAAAGTTTTAAGTGAACATTTAAGTGAACATAAATGAGGTGAGTTAGTGCCCAAAAAATAACATGCATGTCCATCATCAAAGGAGTGAACAATGCTGTATTATCATAATCATTCCTGAAAATGATAAAACTAAAGATCTGGAAGCCTCTGGGCCATATTCTGATCAATTTGTCCACATGGAATAAACATTACATACAAGATGAAGCTAAGACGTCAAGTTGAATGTCTATTTGTGCCCATTTGCAGGGAAAGGTGAGTACCCATCCAGATGCCCAGGCTGACAGCCATCGCCATGCGTGGGGTCCGATGACGGAGGGACAGTAGGGGGTACACTGTCACGTAGCAGCGGTCCACACTCATGGCAGACAGAGTTATACAGGTCGCCTGCACTGTCACCTGTCATCAGATTGAGACACCAGGAGATCCTCGCATCATCACTATGTAGGGAAGCAGGAAGATGCAAGGATGGGGTGGGTTGCCATCCCTCACCTGTTGAATGTAGTTCACCAGCCTGCACATGAAATCGCCAAAAACCCAGCTGGGCAATGGGTAGAGTGTGGCAGTGAATGGCACACAGCACACCAGGAATATGATGTCCGTTGTTGCCAGGTTGGCTAAAGAAGGATTCAGAAGAGCAGCAGACAAACAGATAGCAATGGTTTACAAGAATTCTTCCATTTCTGTCCATCTTTCAGTGCTTATCCTGAGCAGGGTCACAAGGGGCAGGAGTCTATGCCAGGCAGCAGAGGGCATAAGGCTGGGGTACACCCTAAATGAGAATGCCAGCCCATCGTAGAGCACTTTGTAGGTGTCACTTAACCTAAATGCAAGTCTTTGGACAAGGAGAGAAACTGAAATACCCTGGGGAAACCCAATCAAAATGGGGAAACATGCAAACTCCACAAACACACACACACACACACATCAGAGGCGGGATTCAAACCCCCGTCCTTAGAGGTGAGAGGTAAAAGTGCTATGATAAGCCAATTTTAAACCATTGTACCCTGAAAGAATGTAAAATGAAGAAAATGTGCCACAAATTATATGCTGTTTACATCTCTTAGAAAGAGCATGCTTCTGGAAAAAGTTGTATTTTTTGCCATCACTTTACGATATTTGGAAAAAAGGAATTAAATTTAGTTTGAGGATGTGCATGCATACACAACTTCAAGAATCTCTGTACCAAGCTTAGTGAAGATTGTTGGTTCTCAGAGGACATCACACTAGTATGATGGTTCAAAATACATAAACTGTGCTCTCATGAGAAACCAGGTTCGAGCACTCACCTATGTAGAAATTGGTGACTGTCTTCATCTGCTGGTGCTTGGTAACCACATAGATGACGAGCGAGTTTCCTAGCAGTCCAAGCAGCATGATGAGAGCAAAGAAAAGAGGCACGAGCCAGGCATCTACTAACAAAGGGGGGCTCTGTGGTCCGAGGACAGCAGATGCGTTACATCCAAACCCAGGTAAACAGGGAGTGCCAGACGTGCCGTTTGCCAGTTCAGAGCCAGCTGGAATTGGGTCCACCATCATGACATCTACAAGTCCCAGTGTCCCTGCTCTCCTGAGCTTCTGATCACTGAGGTGCTGTCCAGCTATAAATCCAGGCAGAAGGCATCGCGAATACCATCTGGACTAAGAGCTTTGGCACTGGGTCTCAATTACGTAAGATGTTAGTTCTGTTAGCCAGGAATGGGTCAACCTCTGGCAGTAGGACACAAATAATAAAGAAAGTGTAAAAACATGGCTGGCCACTGACTCTCGTTTTTCTCTCTCGTTTTCCCTAACCCCCCCCCCCCCCCCCCCCCCCCCCCCCCTCTCTCTCTCTCTCTCTCTCTCTCTCTCTCTCTCTCCTCCTTCTACTGCACTCTTTCCCTCTCACTCCCCATCTCATATTCTCCTTTACCTTCGGATTCTTAACAACTTTTTCTGGTGAGCTATTTCTAATTTGCATACCATTTTACAAAGATGTGTATTTGCATTATTTTCTACAATCTTTCTCCAGAGGAAATTCTGTTTCTATGAGTGCAAGATGTTTAGAAGGCAGCAATTATCCCACACAGAGAGGCAATCAAAACTGAGGTCACAATGACACTACATTATGGGTCTGTTTATGTTTCTAACTGTGATTCACAACCTTTCAAAATAACAACATTGATTAAACTCATTTAAAATTTAAGTGACACACATGCATATTTCATGTTTTAACAATCAATTGCATTGTTTTTTGAAGATATGTGTTTATTTTTTTTGAAGATGTGTGAAACAGGTGATGTTAAATGGGGACAAAATCATGTATAGTGTATAAGGAGGCTCCAAAAAAGGCCTAGCCCTCAAAGAGCTTGGATGGGTCGAGGCTTGCCAATCTGCCAATACATACATCAGCAAATAGTCCAGCACTTTGAGAACAATGGTCCTCAAAGACAATTCAAGTAAATTTTATTTGTATAGCACATTTTCACAATATTACATTGTACCAAGCCCTCAGTGAGCAAGCCAGAGGCGATAGTGGCAAGGAAAAACTCCCTAGAAGGTGGAAACTTTAGTAGGGGGAATCCATCCTCCAGGAGCCAGCAGAGGATGTCCAGTGAACAAGGTGGTAAAATCCTGATTTACACAATTCAAATTTTAAGATTCGAGTCTAAATGCTGAGGGCAGGCAAGTGCTGGTGAATATGGGCATGGGGAGTCCCTGAACATCAGCACTCCAGTTCCACAAGGAAGTGTGAAGCTAGAGTGACAGACTGACAGTTCAGTTCATCCAAAGCCAATGGCACCGATCCCCACCCAGCTCTACACCTCACACTATAGGTCTAACTGGGAGTGAGCAGTTAGCTAGCGTCCCTATAAGCTAAACTAAACAGGTGTGTTTTTAGTCTAGACTTGAATATTGAGAGTGAGTCTGAATCTCGCACATCTGCTGGGAGACTATTCCACAGCTGCAGAGCTCTGTGAGAGAGCTCTGCCTGTCATAGTTTTTTCGACTCTAGGTATTAATAGATGTCCTGCTCCTTGAAATGGGTAGGAATTTAGGCATTTCACCCTCTACAATAATAATAATAATAATAAGTTTTATTTATAATGCACTTTTCATTAAAACAAATCTCAAAGTGCTACAAAAGTAAAATCAGCACATAAAACACATAAAATCAGCAATAAAATGCTCGTTTAAAAAGGTGGGTCTTTAGGCCACATTTAAAAGTGGCTACATTCTGTGGTGCCCTCAGATGCTCTGGGAGGGCATTCCAAAGACGAGGGGCAACAGAGCAAAAGGCCCGATCCCCCATTGTGCGGAGTTTTGTCCTTTGAGTTTTAAGAAGGTAGGTTGAGGAGGAGCGGAGGGAACGTACGGATGTCTGAGGAGTGAGAAGATCCTTGAGGTATGTAGGGGCAGTTCCGTGGAGACATTGGTAGGTGAGGAGGGAGACACAATATAAGTAAAAGATTGAAGGAATCCAGTCAAATCTCACTGCATAAAAGGTCAAGGCTAAACTCCACTTCTGAATGTATGTGATTTCTGATCCCTCAGATTTCATTAAACATCATGCATCAGTAATGGATATCATGCATAAGCGATTGCTTTAAGACGAGATGAGAAGCATGGCTTCCCTCATAAATCTGCCAAAAAAATTAAATTCATCAATGCATAAATGTAAATTCATTTTATTTTGTGATTAAAAGTGTTATCTATCTTACTAACTGAACCACGTTTCACAGGAGCTGCTTTCACCAACATAAATGCTAATTTTCCCTTTGAAAGCAGGAAAAATACAACCCATTTAGATCGTGCTTCACTGTAAATCTATGGAAGATTCATGTACACTTTTTCTAAATGAAGAATAAACAAAAGCTTATTGGTGAATATACTTTAATTATGTGTTTTGTAGCCCACCTGGACTCAAATATCAAAGATGCGTTGGTTGCATTCTTATCAACGAGAACAATTCCATGATTACTTGTGTCCCAAGTTTGTTCTTGCCAGGTAAATTGGGCAGAATGCCAACACTCTTTGCATTCCCAGTATTGAGAAACACCATATGAGAGCTCCATACATAGTTATTGCTTATGGAATGTTGATTGGGCAGATAATCTTGCAGTCAGCTAACATGCCTCCCAAAAACAAACTTGGGATGCAATGAATCATGGGATTGTGTTCGTTAGCAAGGATGCGACCGATGCATCCTTGATATTTTGGGTGGGGTAAAATCTACATCTAGGGCTTTTTACTGGTTCTTGAGTACTGGAACTGTACTTTCCCAATGGAAACATCCATGCTGTCTGTTGGCAGTATTCATTGATTCTGTCGCATGCAGGGGCACAGAAGCATTTCATTGCAGTCCAGAGTGAGTTTATTGTTTTGTATTTCATCTTTCACCATTAGCATTTGTAAATAGGGCAAATAAAGTCGTCATTGAGTTTTGAGTTTGATTGTTTCATTTTCATTTCTGGGATTTTTAGTAGACTGGTATGATGCTATGATGTTACATACATGTTGAAGTAATCAGATGTGACATGATTGCACATTTTCAAAAAAAAAATTCACAAGGTAAAACATCAAATAATGTGGTGAACAGAATTTACAGATCACTCCTTTGTGTTTTTATTAACATTTTCTATACTGCCCCAACTTTTCTGAAATTGGAGTTGTACCATAATTTCATGGTTTATCTTTGCCCACACAGGTTAGTTTGGGATCACTGAACAATTTAAAAAGATATCTTGCAAGGATATTAAATTTAATAATGTGTTTTAATGTTTTCTAATATCTCTGGAACACTACTGTATGCATGCATTTGGAACCCATGTTTGTGCTGCAGGTCAGCATATGAACATCCATGGCCTGGAAAGAGTCCCTAATGCTACCTAATGTACAAAACCTGACCAGACACCTCACTATCGTGAAGCAAACAAACCACAAGGGCAGAACCGATAACGTTATTCACCATAACTTCTTCCTTCAGCAAGGCATCGCTAATGGTGAAGAGACTGCTAAATTGGTAACACTTTACTTAAAGCAGTCATTATAATGCATTATAGATACCTTCATTATGCATTATGACACATTCATGAAGTATTCTAAAAAGTTCCCTTTGCCCTTAAAAAGGCATAACACATTATTGCCAAGTTTATTATGCATTATGAATGTGCCATGAAGCTCTCATCTCTAACGCACTATAGACAACTTCATAATACATTATTATTGTCAGTATATGCCATTATAATGCATTATGAAGGTATTTATAGTGCATTGATTAAGGCACACAACATTGTGGCAAAATGGCTTGTAACTCGGTTGGCTCCGGATAAAGTATTGTCACATGATTCAAACATCTTAGGCCACAATCATAAGGGGCAGGGAGCATGGTGTATATCAGCGACTCTGGTTTCATCTCTTTACTGGATTGTTCTTAGTGGTGACGATGCAACTAATGCACAAGAACATCAAAGTACACATAATAGAACAGTGGCAGTAAAGGAACATTGGTAAAAGGGGTTAAATGAACAGAGGTAGGGGCAAGAGTAGCTAGGAGCATGGGGACCTGCTGACATCGCATGGCATCCATTTGTTATAGGATTATTAATGTTCTCTGCCAGTGCAACTCTACTCTGTATGGGGCTCTTAGCCTGTAGCGCCTCCTACTGGTCTCTTCAGGTCACATACAAATCCTTAAAAGCCATGTGGCACAGTTACAATCACAGGTTAACTTATAATTCTGATATACATTATGGATTGGGTATGCTTTAAGCAAAATGTTCAACAGCAATATTAAAGAAATTGCTGGCTTATGACCTGCTGCTGATGGTTCATATCTGATACAGATGAGGCAGGAATCTTACAGAATACTACTCGATGTGACAGCATGTATGTGTACAAAAATGACAATGAAGCAACGTTGTTAGAAACTTTATTGACATATTGCACAAGTAATAATACCACACACTGTACGAACACATTCTGTTGTTCTGACACTGAAATAGTCCATTCCTCTTTTGTATATGTAATTTGTGCGTTTCATTATGGGTTATAGGGTACTATACATTCTTTATATATACACATATAACCAGAGGATAAAACAACAGAAATAATAATTAGAAAAAAGGTTCCCTTTCCCCTCAAACATATTCTGGATATCATTCCTCACTCCCCCCAAATTCCAATGTTTCCGCAGGTGAACAAACAAGCAGAACCAAGAAAAAGCATGGATGTAACATTGACAGGCAGCATACATCTCATCACTGTAAACAACCCAGCAACCTCAATGGTCTTTTCTTTCCAAGTCACATAGATTGAGGCCAAAGAGGTGCTCGTTTTATAAACCTCTTTCGTTGAGCTATTATAGGCTTTTAGCAATTTAAATCTCAAACCACTCTGTTGACAGCAAGCAAATAACTCTTAGCGGTTATAAAAATCATGGGGAATTATGGTGGAAATTAATTTCTCCATGACGTAGTAAGCAGTAATGGGAGAAACTAAACTTAAAATCCCATGGTTGGCGGTCTTTCCATTTCCCATCAAAACAGACCAACCAGTAGCCTAACAGGTCCCACACCATACAAGCACGAACCTGTATATCTCTTCCCCTCGCTAGAAGGAAGCCCAGCATATCTGAAGCTCTTTGCAAATTCAGCAAAGACCATTATACTGTCATCTCTGGACTACTGGTAAAAAGTTTCATAATCTAAACAAACAAATCAGACGGTATCCCAGAGTGATTCAAAGCACTGATATATTTAGAGTTACCCACTGGCCCTAAACTCAAGTCAAACTCATACATCCAAAATTAAATGCCATGACCATCCAGTTTAAGACTAACATATGAAGGGACCATATTCATGTCTCTGGTTTTGTATTAGACATGCACTCCTAGCTTTGGTGCCTCAGAAGGGGACTTTAGGCCGACATCATTCATTTGTGATCAGTTTGTGACAATACAAGACCTTACAGTGGAAAACCAGACACACTTGGTGCACACAGAGGTCTGGATGCAAGCATGTATATCTACTTTGACATATTCTGTTAGCCTTCATGGACCATTCCTTGGGGGGGATGTTTGATTTAGCTATAGATTAGCATCAAGTTTTTCCATAGACATATAAATTTGTTATATACATAGATATGCTACCTGACACAGGTCTGTGCAGAATTAACTGCTCTTTGCTCTGGATGAGTAGCAGGGGTGAAACTGTCGAGAGCAAAACCACACAGCCAAAATGGGCACAAGTAGTGCCAAAATACGTGATCTACACAATACATATTACAGAAAATAGATACATCCAGACCCCTTCAGTGAATGGGCTTACCCAGAGTCACTTAATCTCTCGTTTACTTGGAAACACCTAGCTGATCTGGAAGATTATGAGGGGGTGAACCAACTGAGTAAGAAACAAGTGGCAGCGCGGTGTGACAGGAGGGCGACCTGCTCAAACACTGAAGCTTTCGCCGCAGCCACACATGCCTTTGATATTGGGGTTATTGAAGACAAACTCGCTCGCCAGCTTGGTCTCCACATAGTCCATCTCTGTTCCCAACAGGGTGAGCTGCGCCTTCTTCTCTATGAAGACTCTTACCCCTGTAGGAAACAGGAGACCATGTTTCAAGTGAAGCACATGGTCGCGGCACCTGCCTACTACAACACTCAGATGTTAGTCACATGTAAAACAGCCACTGGAACGTCGAGGCAGAGGAACCCAAAGGGGCGGAGATTACTGTATGTTGTCCTTCACGGAGGAGTTTAATTCATGACCCACAGGTTGCTTTATTTGTTTATATTGGCAAATGTTCAATTCTACCTACTCTGAAACCTCGCTTCTTCCATCATTAAATTCAACCACCCATTTACGCAACGATCCTTCAGTGATACACCTCTAGAGTGAGCCAGGGAGCTCTTCCCAGCCTCTCAGTGACGGAACATCCTAAACAATTACTTTTTTTTTCCCCACCGTGTATCAATGTGTTTAAAATTATAGCAAAGCAAATATAGCCTGTTACTGCAACAAAGGCATAACAGAAAAAAAGAGAACAAATGCTGGGGTCTCCCACAGCATTTTGAGAAGTGTTGCAATCAACTGCAACTCACCATCCTGCAGCACTTCCTCATCTGCCGTCTCCTCTTTCTCCTTGATGTAGTTCAAAGTGTATGAGAGTCCATTGCAGCCACGTGTTCGGACACCCACCCTCAGACCGATCTTTGCAAAAAGAGAACCTCACGTAATAGTGCTCAAGAACAACAAAGACCAATTAGTACCAGATTCACATGAACAAACATGCATATTAGCCTAAATTCATTCTAAAAAAACACATGCAACTATTACTCAACTAACTCTAAATGTTCCCATGGAATGCTTATGGACGTAAATATACACATTGACAATGGCTGAAACACTACTAATCATCCACCAAATGCTAAAAAACATCCATCTTCTATACCCGCTTGTCCTATGCAGGGTTGCAGGGTCCAGAGACTATCACAGAAGCTACAGGTACAAGACAGGGAATAACCCAGAATGGAGCACCAACCCATCGCAGGGACCACACAACCTTCACACTCATACACAAATAATGAGGCAATATAATCATTGCTAAAATTTTTATAAAATTTCATTCCTTTAAAACAAAATAAGGCTTATAGACAAAAGATTTATAATTGAGAACATTAAAACAAAGACGAATAGGACACTAGTCTCAAGCACAAACATATTGTACGGTGGTCTTCGTACTTAAGTACAGCTCATTTAAACTATGATGAACATTACAAGCATTTTAAAAAATTAAAAATGGTAAGAAACGGCATTTATTTAATACAGATGTTTATAGTGGTGGAGTATGCCACTTTAAACTTTGTACAATGAGATACTTACATATTCCGGTTTGTTCTGTAACAGATGTTTAATCTTACTTACTGCTGATGGCGTCTAAAAACAGAAAAACTGTATAAATATCCAAGAAGATATGCACAAACAAAGTATGTTTACATGATCTTTGCACTGGAGCCTCATTAAGAATTTCCTGCAATTATATTCATCAGCAAGGCTGCAGAAATGCATGCACCCTCTAGAGCTGGCTGTGGAGCAGACTTTTCCAAGCTTCGAAGTGGACATCCCATCACATGGACGGATGGATAGTTAGATCATGAAAATATATATATCAAACTTAAATATTTGGGCTTGATTCTAGCTTAAATGGTTTAAGAATTTATGTAGTAAACGCTACCTCACCAAAAGGTTTAACCGTAGACCTAAAACTGCATCTGTTCTGGCAGAAACCCAATTCCTTAACCACCAGCTTGCCAATTATTACTCAACAAAATGTAAAATGATTAAAAACTTTGAACTAACACTTGACCACGTACTAAAGGCATCAATGTACACTTCCTTGCCATGTATAGGACAAGTTATTGTCTTTTCTGACAATATATCTGCTTATATGTTATTAAGAGCTGTGGATTCATGTTATGTCACGGTTCGTTTCAATGACAATGCACGTTTGTAGGTCAATACGTTAGCTACCGAAGAGTTAACTAAAGTTTCGTTGAGGAAAAATAGCTAACTAACAGGGATGGCCCGAAGGCAATCGTTTAAAATACCCAAATGACAAACTATCTGTATCTGCTTGTCGCGTGTCTAGTTTTCCAGATAAAAGTCATACTATTTTGAAACAGCTAGCTAGAAACACTACCCTCTCATTTCAACCCTAATCTATTTAAAAACCAACGAAATCTCATCAGCTAAGCAACTTTCGCACATTTGTTTGCAGAAAGCCAACAACACACTCACCAGAGTTAACGCAGCCCGAGTTGGAAGCAGTTTTCTCTTGCTAACTGCTCTTACTGTCGCCCTTACTACTGGGGCAGACATGTTTCTCCTCTCTCGAAATCTCTTTGAACTGCAATTTGACAAGGTAGCGAAAGTGAATAACACATTATTGCGCATGCGCTGAACGTGAATTCAATAATGTCGTCGGCGATACGGCATGTCAATAACTGGCAAGCTAGTTAGCCAATAGAAAACCACCATAAAACATTACACTCTCGCGACACTGCGCGCTGTTATGCAAAGGAAACTGAATCGCTTCATAGCGATTGTGTAATATTTTGAGAGGTGTGAAATAATTTCTTGAATTCTAAAGCTAAATATGATTAAGTATATGAATAGCAAGAAGTACACCAAAGAAGATTATGTAATTGTTTTATTTTACATTAAACATCAAAGCAAAACACTAAAAATAAATACGAGAATTAAAATATTAAAATGTTCACATTGAAAATTTAGATATTTAAGTAAATTGCTGACGTTAATCTATTTAGATTTCTTCCATCACAATATTAGAGAGCTAATTCTGCATCCTGGGTACCCCGCAAATAAATCCGCTAAAGGTATTTGTATAAGAGCTCTCCTTCCTAAATAATGGTACAATACTCAAAAATGTTGCCATGGGATACAACTGCCCAGAACGGCACCGCTGCAGAAGTGCATTTACAAACCTCTGTGCCTTGACTTACAACAATGTAGCCTCACAAAATGAATGCCTTTCAAGTTAGAAAAATTCAGAAAACTCTGTAGTAGAAATGATTCAAACATTTTCAAATATGACCTATATGCTCGGAAGAAGCTCATAAGACGTCAAACTTACAAAAGTCGTATTCTGCGTTTGCTGTTATTTAGAGCAAATTCATAAATTCATCTAAGTGAAGGGATTTGGCTCGTTAGACTCCACAATCAAAATACCTACCCAGACAGCAATTCCCTCTGAACAGGTGTTATGCCGAAAAACGCATCCCTGCCTTATAATGCATGCCGGTGTTCTGACGAGTTGAGCTTTTGAGGGTTAGGGGTTTTTAGGGGTTAGGGTTAGGGCCTATAGGGTGACCAGATAATCCATGTCAGGGAGGACACTCTGAGCTAGGACAGGAATTGTAAATTACCATTTCAATTAAACGGACTTGGATTTCACTTGAGCACCGAGTTCTTGCTGTGTGTTGATTGGTCAGTCTCCTATAAGCATGCATATGTCACTAATGCTAATGTAAAACAGCTGGATGAGTCTTTCAGTCAAGGAAACAAACCAGTCAAAGCACAAGAAGAGCTGAACTCTTTAGCCGAGCACAGGAGCCTTTTAATTTGGAAGTAGTTTGTAAAACCCGAAGTAGCTCAAAGTGTCCTCCCTGACATGGATTATCTGGTCACCCTAGGTTAGGGTTTTAGGGGTGTTTTGGGGGTTAGGGTTTTAGGGGGTTTTGGCGGTTAGGGTTTTAGAGGTTTTTTGGGGGTTAAGTCAAGTCAAGTCAAGTCAACTTTATTTATAAAGCCCTTTACGTACAGCAACCACTGACCAAAGTGCTGGACATAGGAACATAAAATATATAAAAATCATAAAATAAATAAAATAAATTAACATAACATAAAGTATAACCACAACTAAACATAAATATGAACAACAACTCACACTGGATCAAAAGCCAAGGAAAATAGATAAGTCTTTAGAGCAGATTTAAAAGTGGGCAGTGAAGAAGCCTGTCTGATGTAAAGTGGCAACGAATTCCAGAGTTTAGGACCTGCAACTGAAAAAGCACGATCCCCCCTGAGCTTCCGCTGTGTCCTCGGCACCTCCAAAAGCAAGTGACCAGCCGATCTGAGCAGCCGGGAAGGAGAGTGCAAATGTAGCAGCTCAGCGAGGTAGAGTGGGGCAAGTCCATTTAAAGACTTAAAAACAAATATAAGAATCTTAAAATGAACTCTAAAATGAACAGGCAGCCAATGCAGTGAGGATAACACAGGAGTAATGTGCTCTTTCTTCCGTGTGCCAGTTAAAAGGCGTGAGGCAGCATTTTGCACGAGCTGTAGACGAGACAATGTGGATTGACTAACACCAACATACAAAGAATTACAATAGTCCAACCGAGTTGTAATGAAAGCATGGATCAAGGTCGTAAAAAGATCTTTTGGTAGAATGTTTTTTTATCTTCGCTAAACGTCTCAGCTGGAAGAAACTAGATTTCACCACTGCACTGATCTGGCTGTCGAGTCTAAAGTCATTATCTATTCTAAAACCCAGGTTGGTGACAATAGGCTTTCCATATTGTGCCAGAGTGCCCATGTCCACAGTAGAAGACGACCCACTAGTGCTACCAGGCCCAAAAACTATCACCTCCGTCTTATTGTCATTAAAATTTAAAAAGTTAACCGCCATCCAAGCTTTCAGTTCATCTAGACATTCAACTAAAGTTTGTATGGAGTAGGCATCCTTGCGTTTTAGCGGTACATAAACCTGAGTATCGTCTGCATAACAATGGAAAGCAATGTTATGCCTTCTAAGAATGGAGCCGAGAGGCAGCAGATACAAAGAAAATAGCAGAGGGCCAAGTATTGAGCCATGAGGAACCCCATATAACGTTACAGTGAAGCAGTGGAGGATCCAAAATCATTTAGCCTAACACAAAAAGTTCTCTGAGCCAGATACGATTTGAACCACTCCAAGGCAATACCACCAATGCCTACACAGTGCTCCAAGCGAGAAATTAAAATATTATGATCTACTGGAAGGTTAGAGTTTTACGGTTTTTGGGGGGCTATTGATTAGCACTACGGTAGCCTTACTCGACAAAGTAGCTCAACTCGTTTCAGAACAGCGACCAATCGGTCATTTAGAGACAGGCATGCATTCTACGGCAGGGATGCCTTTTTCGGCATAACACCTGTTTTCCGTTTTCGAATCACCAGATTCGCGTAGCAGTCACACTCTCCATGCATATCTGCGCCAGCTTTGCAGCATATTTGTCCACAACCTCTGACTGGATCACCAGATTCGCGTAGCAGTCACACTCTCCATGCATATCTGCGCCAGCTTTGCAGCATATTTGTCCACATCCTCTGACTGACAGTCCTTCAGAAAGGTCCGTATCTGATCCGGGACAGCAGCGCAGACAGGACCCGCGCTTTTTTAAATCTCGCAGATGCGCGTGTAGATGCCTTAGTTAACTGAAGAGTCACACAACAACCAGTGAAGATCTGCTTGTGGTTCTTGGTAAGTGCATTATAAAACTATATTAAGATTGACATCAGATTGACATATAGCTGATAGTTCCATGCGATTAAAAAACATAATTAATGCGAAAGTAGGCTTAATGTAAGAATTGGCGATTGTGGTGAAAGCCTGTTATCAAAATTGGTGAATATCTCCGTTCGCGTGGATGTTATGCGCAATGAGATGCGGGCAATATTTTTGTACGTCTGCGTAAAATTCTAATTTTGGGTTCAGTGTCACCAACATGGCAGTAAATATTATCTAAGCTCATTTCCAGCCAGTTTGTGTCTTCCAGTTCATTCATCTGGTTAGCATGCAAACGTTACTTAAAGTTGCTTAAACTTAGCAGGCCCAGTTGATGAGACCTTGTTTACACGGTTTTTGGGTACATCAGCAAACTTCGTTTAGTTATGTTTGCATAACGTTTATTGCTAGTGTTAGCATTAAATCTTTTTCAGATTAAATTTTGATAGTGTTTGAACAAATATGTTTTTATTTAGATTTGAAGTGTATTTTATCTATGTGGTGAAACATTAAGTGTATTTTTCCCCCTTTTTTCAGTTTCTTAGTTGTTGTTCATTTCAAATTAAGATTCTCATTTTTGCAGCAGTGTTACTGAGTTTTTTTTGAGTAGCTAAATATCTCCTATTTCTTTGAACTGTGCTCCATAAGTTTTGTTCCATTCCCTCTGCTGATGCTAGTCAAGTTGAGGTCAAGCCGCCCATCATCTCTTGCAGGTAACCAGCTATATCACATACATAGTCACATTTTGAGACACAGAATGCACCTGTACCCTGATTTTGAAACTTGTTGCTTGAGCTTTATTTCCACCTGATGCCCTGTCGAATAACGCATTGATTTAGAAATGACACTCTATAGGCACCACCAATATCATCCAGCACAAATGTTGAATTCCTTTCCTCCTGAATAAAGTCTGAAAACTGTATTCCCAGTTTACTTTGACGTGCTGCTTCCTACTCTTCAGTGACAGACCAAGTAAGATACCACCACACACAAACACAGATCAATGTATATTCTGAGATTAGTAAAATAAATGTACTTTTTTATGTTCAGACCTGTACCCGGTTCCACTGGCTCCAACTTTTGCTGATCACCTGTTTTCCTTTAACCATCCAAATGTAAGTTGACTGTTATTTTCAATGTCTTGCTATTTTACACTTGGTCTCTACACACACGTAAATTTTTTATTTTTTTTTAATTCTTGCATGATGCATTATTTTTTAATAAATACAACTGATATTGAATTAAACAATTTATTCCACGCGAGCTTGTCACAATGTTTTTGAATATATTTTTTACATTTTTCATATGACTGGAGTTTTTGTAATGACAAAAAATGTTATGTGTTCTCTGGATGAGATTGAGCTTCAGAAATGTAAAAAAAATTAAAAAACTGTTTTGAAGACGAGAAATGTGTGGGGATTTTTTTGGGCCATGTCTGGCCCAGGTGTAGCTGAAAAAATTAATCACCAATCACAGAACAGGGCCAGATGAGCCCTAAATGTAAAGGTTGAGTCACAGATCTGAGCCAGATCCACACCAAATATCATAGCATTAACAACTGTATTGGGCCAGTACTGGCCAAGGTCTGTTCCTGATCCCCAATCCAAATCCATGCTGGTATTGGGCCGTTGGAAAGACCCCGGCGCTGACCCGTTTCACGGATCTGCACCAAATTCTGTCCAATATCTGGCACAGTTACCTTTTGCTGTCTGGGTAGGTTGCTCAATCTATCATTGTTCATGGGTGATTTCAAGTACGTTTTAATAAGCCCGAGGAATGAAAAGCTTCTTTGAAAAGACCCTTCTTAGTAAGTAGGCTTTTATCGCCCTCTTGTGCTTCAAATGGCAACAGACAGGAATTTGCTCACATAAGACGGTCAAAAGAAAAGTCGGCGAACAGAACCACAGGGAAGGAGAAGAAATAGGGATTTTATCTGAGTGCATGAGAGGAAAACTGCTTAACAAGATGTTGGAGAGAAGTGAAAACAAATAACGGCCATTTCATTATCAGCAAAAGAGAAAACAAGAAAATGGGCAGAGTTGAAGTTCTCCTGCAGTTGGATGCTGGCTCCAGCTTTAGGGTTCTCTTAAACAGCCCTTAGTTTCAATAAGAGTACATGCCAGTGGCATAGGGGAGCATGTGTCCCCCAGTATTTAATTTGGCGTCATTTGTCCCCCCTATAAATAGACCTATGTACTTATATTAGATTGCATGATGCCAGATATAAAACTGCCCTACGTCATAGCATACGCTGCTCCTCTGCAATGTCTGTGTTGATCCAAAATGTAAGATTTAACAAGCAAATGCAAATAGGTGAACAGGGAGTTTCATCCAGTGCATGATTAGACAAATGTGGGGCACACGTGGTCAGTACTGTGGTTTGGAGGGCTGGAAAACAATGTAAACTATACCGGTCACAATACCTGATCACAAACCATATCTGAGGTCTCGAACAAGCATTAACATTGTCATAAAAATTTCTTGATGTAGAATGGTATCCTCCTCTAGAGCTCCTGCTTAATCTATGCCAACAGGAAGCTAATTAAGCATTGTGTGGTGGCCACATACACGTTACATATTTTATATACACACACACACAATTTCTATGGGCATAACCTTAATCCCAACTACCACATCCTTCACTATAAGGTAATAAAGCAAAATACAAGATTATTGGATAGTTTTTTTGATTGCATTCAGAGATGTTTTATAAAATCAAGGTTATCCGTGTGGGGACTGGAAAAAAAAAATGTCCCCACAAGGTTAAAACTTACAGGTTTTCATCACACTGTGGGGAAATCTGGTTTCCACAATGTAAATTACAAAAACACACAATATATTCATTCACATAACCTGAGGTTAAATCAACTAATACTTGTAAAGAAGTACTGTAATATTTAGCAAACTACTTCTCAGAACAGGAAGAACATTGTATTTGAAATCTTAAGACTGAACAAGTCTTGTTTATAACTTGAAGCAAATGCCTCAAGCTGACTAAATGAAATCAGAAGTTTTTTTTTTTTCCTTTTTTTTTATTTTAAAAAAAGGTTTATTTTTTTAGCGGTTTTCACACAGTAGTAAGTTAACACAGCAGCAAACAGGTGGAAGACAAGGCTTGTGGTTCTGATTTATCAAAAGCCCAGTACTAATTAAATCTTTTATTCTTTTTACATGAACACTCAGAGACTCAAGTCACTATTTCTGAAAGTTGAATAGTAAAGGTTTATATCACTGCTTAGACAATCCCAAAGGCCTTACCGTACAGCTATCTGAGGCGTTCCAATTTAAGCTATACTGTCTTTTCTACAGACAGTTCATAGTGCATGTGACAAAGTGACCAAATGACTGTATTAAAATTAAAATAAAACAAATAGAAACCTGTTCGGCAAAGAGCATGCGTGATGGCTTTGGATTTAAAATGAATTATAAAAAGAAAAAAGAAAAGAAAAATCAAAACTCCTTCTGGAGGAATTCTGGTTAAAAACATAACACCGGTGAGGTGGCTCAGGTTTCGTCCTGCTTCTCACCATGTGACCTACACACAGACAAGAGCTAAAGGTGGATGGGACTGGGTTTTGGCTTAAAGTAAACATGCTTCTCTTCAGTCCATGGGTTTTCTCCTGGAAGAGGCTCTGCCCTGAGTCAGGTGCCTGTTAGTGAGGCTGCCTGTAACAGATTGCGAGTTTAATAGCCCATTATCAGGCCACAAACACTCCTATCAGACAGTCATACATGAAAAGGGCCAAGTACAGGTATAAAAGAATGACTATTAAGTCACCAGCAACACCCCCCCCCCTCCATAACAGTCACACCCCCAGGGACAGAAGACCCCATGACCACAAACCTGCTCGGGGGCTCAGAGTCATCTTTGACTGTTTTGGCATCCTCCTCTCCTCCCGGAGGGGTGAACCCTGCAAACACACACAAGAGTGTAAAGGCACAAGCCCGAGAGCAGCAGGTGTCAGGAAGGACCTGTGCAGGTATTTCCCCAAACCTGTCTTTCGCGGGGGCTCTTCGTGAGACCGGATGTAGATAACCCCTCACCCCTGGGGCTTCCTGTGATGGAAGGTTCAGAGGTTAGAGCTACACAGAACTCAGAGCTATTCACTCTTTAAAAACCATAACCCATAAAGCACAACCAGAGACCATGTCGTTTAAGAGTGCCTTCCTGTCTGCTCACCAGCACGACCCCTGTATTTGGGACACTCTTTCATTATGTGGCTGCAGGAGCCACAGATGAAGCATCTCTTCTCCTCCTGGCCTTTCCGCCTGTCGCCATGGCGCAGTGCCTGGTCCCTGACCTCCAGGGGCTCTGGCCGCACCCTGTCCTGGTTGCCATGGTGCCGCCTGCCACCTCCTCCGTCCTCGTAGTTCAGGGGATCACGCTTCTGTCTCACCCTAAAACGGGCACAGGTATAAAGGCACCTGGCTGTGCATGGCCCTCACCGGACGTGGAACGGTGGTACATAAACACGCCCCACCCGTGAAAATAGCTTTCTGAGATACTTCATGGCCACCTTGTACATTCAAGAGAACACAGAACTACTGCTGTAAAACCCTTCCATTGTTACTTTCACATCCTAATTTTACAGTTTTCTGTGCCACCTACTGAATTGTACATAAACACAATAAAGGCCACAATGAAGCAAGCTTACTTTCTGCGTATTGGACAATCCTTCATAAAGTGGCCTATTTTTCCACAGATGCGACAGCAGCGGTCGTTCGGGGCCAGTTCGCCCTCTGTGAGCACCTCGGGGTCAAAGAAGTACTCCTGGAAAATGAACAGGAACTTAGGAAACAGCCCCTGACATGCTGACAAACCTGCCCCCATGTAAGTGATCAGTGGGACACAGCCTACGGCCCCACAGCTGTGAGAGTGATTATCCACCCACCCACTCATCCAGTATAGTGGTGGTTCTCAGTCCTGTTCCTGGAGGGTCCCCTGGTAGAATGTTTTCATTCCAGCCCACACTGCTATCAACCTGCCACATTCATTATTAACTTAAGGACCATCTGAGCCTGATTAAGGTAGGGTTGGAATGAAAACATTCTGGCGGGGGGGGGGGGGCGCCAGGGAGAGGTCTGAAAACCATTGCGTTAAAGGGTCAAGGAAGGGCTGCAGTCCAAGGAAGCAAAGGACACCCATAATAGGATGCCAGTTTACAGCAGGGGGTGTGCACTCGCACAAACACACACACACACGCAGCAATTCAGACATGCAGGTCAGCCTAACTAAATGTGTCTGGAGGAAAGTGTAGTACCATAAGGAAGTTTGCTTAACATGCATGGGGGTGTGGAATCTGATCAAAATTGTGAACAAGCAGGCGAAACAATCTCCATTCTAATTCAATATTAAAATCTTAAATAAGCCTCAATGTGTTCTCATTCACAAATATACCAGTAGTACTGTTGTCTAAAATTCATGAAGGTCAGTAGTGAGTGAATATTTAACAATCACCATAGGTTAATAAATTATTGCCCCTTAATTTAAACTTTTTTTTACATTGCATAGAAGCATTCACAACCAGACAAGGCGTTCCTGACAGGGGCTGACAGCCATTGGCTTGTCTTGCTATAGTTCTCTTGTCCAAGTGTGTCCCTCATTTATGGAGGAGCTCTGGGATTAATGCAGCATTCCTTAGTGTTAAAGGTCCATTACATTCCGAAGATCATCTTGTTAGAAAACGTTTAACGTCCTCCGCGTCGCAAACAAGACAATACGACAAGTGTTCCGGATAAAAAAATCCACTATTCCACCATGTTTTTATAAATTCCAAACAACTACATTACAAGGCTGGATGTTTCTGGAGAGATACCCACCATTTTTGAGGGGTATTCAGGAGGGTAGACTTTAATGGGAGTTCCAAAAACCCTTCTTCCATTGATGAAGGCTTTCATGATAAAATTAGTCACTGTGTTGGGATAAACAAAAGTAAATAAATTAAGGTATGGCCATTCATTAATATTGGTTAATCTGTAAACAAATCTGTAAAGCACTTACTTCTTCTAGATAATCCAGCACCAAGGTTATGGTTCAGATCAAAAGGATCTATGGTTTTGAAGGAAAAACAAGCCACAGAGTAAATTGCAATAGCTGAAAAACCAATACAATTAAGCTAATCAATGATGGTTCATTGTTAGACTATATTTTTTCTATGCTTCAACCAACAATTGTCAGATTTGGCAACACACACACACAGTTTTTCTCCGTTATGATTTGTGGAACAGTCTGGAATGAGCTATAGAGCTTCTGCGGCATACCCAGTCTCCCCCACTTTCTACCTAGAACAGCTACTTTACTGTCATTCAGAACATACACCGGTTAGTGCACATCAGAACAAAATTACGTTGCATTGACTCACCATCGGCCTAGCAGAGTGTATTAATACTAAAAATCTTAAACTTTAAAAATATAAAATCTAAATAGAATATAAAGTGGAATTAACATAATATATTTTATAGTGTATATTCTAACAGCAGTACAGCAACAAAAACCAGTGTTCCTCGCCATTTCAGATATATTGTACTAGACGTTTAAAAAGAAAAAAAACAACAACAGTCTTGAAAGTGACATGTGCATGGATTGAGAGAGGTAGAGTGTGGGGAGGGGGGGGGGGGGTCAACATTAAGGAATGCTAGGAAATCGACATTAAGGCTGCCAGGGAAAAGGGCCCCGATTCACCCACGCGTACAAAGCACCTGCACACTCCACGTGCCCCAGCCGGCCCGGGCTCTCACCCTCGATGACGATGTACTTGGAGGTCCACTGTTTCTTGAAGGTGGTGAGGAGCTGCTCCCTGCGGATGGAGATCACGTGCTCCTTGAAGTCAAACTCCTCCGTGTAGAACTGCAGCAGGCCAAGCCACAGCTCCCCCACACTCTCGGTGTTGCTGTGGTACTCCGGCCAGCGGCGGGGCTGCACGCACGATGGCACGGTTGTGAAAACGTGTCACCACGTCAGCAGACATGTCCCTCCCAAAAGGGCCCCCCAACTGCAGCATTAGCCTGCATATCCCAACATGAGTGATGCAGATTCACTTCACAGGCAAGAAGTGGAGAGTGGTCAGCTCTTTGCAGCAAGCAGACCAAAGACAGTGTTTCCCCTACCATTATATAAGGGCGTGCCCCACCCCCCCAACGGCACCTCCCACCCTCCCTTGAAGGTCAAGTTAATTTTATTATCTATATAGCGCCAGATCACAACAGATGTCATTTAAGGTTACCTTTCCTATAGAACAGGTCTATACATTGTCCTTTTATTAAACAAACTAAATATCCTTAATTTATCTTATTTACACAACAGCTTGTCATTTTTGTCTCTACATCAGTGTTGGCCAATCTTATCCGCAAAGGGCCGGTATGTGTGCGGCTTTTCGCTGCAACTCCCTAATCATATTACTAATTAGAGGACTGATTGGCTGAGGAGTCCTCACACCTGAGTTTGAACAGCTGACCTAAAGGACCTAAAAACCTGCATACACACCGGCCCTTTGCGGATAAGATTGGCCACCCCTGCTCTACATGGTTGCACGTTTCTCCTCTGCTCTCTGTATCGTGCATGGCGGAGTTCCACCCCGATGCGCGCGCACACTCAAGTAAGCACACTCCCACCAGCGGACAGAGAATGTGCGTCGGAAAATATGTCGCGTCAACCACCTGAAAAGCAGACAAAAATTTCTGCATTCTTTTGACAGCTGTCATTAAAAGAAACACATGAACACCATGAATTCTGTCGGTGTCCATCTGTCCCCCCCCCCACCAAAGCTGTAAACCTAGGGGAAACACTGCAAGACCTATGACATTCCCACCCTCAAAGCCAGATCTGCGCAGTGCTTTTTGAAAAAGCAGAAAAATAAAAATTATGGATGGAGGGAATCAAAGCCTTATGCAGCTTTTGACCCATTTGGGTTGGAAACAAAAAAAGGGACGGCAAGGCAGCTACACAAATCTCATTTTCTTTAACTTACTAATTCATCCAGTTTATCGAAGAAATAGACATTCCAGCCATCAACTAGGATTTCAGGCTTCTTTGGTCCATCATAAATCTACAAAAGAGATAGGAAGTGAAATTTACTTGAAGCCCTGTTAATTACACAGAGGCCAAAGAAAGGGTTAAAAAGTGAGAATTCATACTGATGAGTCACTTAGACTGCAGTGGTTATTGGGCAAGTAAACAACATGCAGGATTAGTCAATAAGAGAGCAGAGTACACAGAAAAATCAGACAAGTACTTTGTGTGTTTAGGAAATACTGAAATACACAATACACTGTCAGAACTTCAAAACCATCTGTCAGCTTAAGATATTGTCAACACACACACACACACACACACATATACACACACACACACACACACATATTACACACATATATATATATATTGACTGTGCCTTTTTATATATAGTGCATGGAGTTTATAAGCACCAATATTGCAATGCTCAATGTGTTGAAAGCTACAGGAAAAAAAGTCTGCTAACTCAACACACCCAACAAGATATCACACTGTTCTGGCACCTCCCCAGAGGTCTCTGAAAGAGCACGTCACACCCTAAGAATGGAGAATACCTCCTGGAGAACAGGAATGACGGGTGGGCTCCTCTGCTGAAGGAAGAACAGCACCATCAACGTGTAGGCGTAGGAAGAAAGGCTTCCACGTGAGGCATCGCCGATATCGCACACCTGCAGAGAACATGCACGCATATGACAGCACAGCCTAGTGATTAGCTTTGATTGGCTGGATGGCTCCGTTTAGCCTGTAAAGTAACTCAAGCCTCACTACTGTACACACACAGCAAACTGTCTACATGCATCAGTACAACAGCAGCAGGGAGTGACAAAGGGTTTGAGCACCCAGATCATGCTGTGGGGAACCACCGCACTCACTTTTGAGAACACCTTCATGGCATAGCACAGGTACTTCACTCTGGGGTCGATCGCCGCGTATGATGCAAGGAGCCGTGTGTTGTGCAGGGCCTGAAGGAAAGGCAAAGGTGCAAAATGCGCAAAGATTGGCAGGACATCAAAATGCCAGCATGGCCTAACACACTGTCATCGTCCATAGGGGATCACTCAAGAATGCTGCTCCAGTGGAGTAGGCAGTAGGCTTGCTGGATCACACAGCTGTCCCAGCTGGGGCTGGTCACACTGGCTGCGCTGGAAGCTGGGCGAGACTGGCCAGAGTGAGGTAAGGGGGTGTCACATTCTCACCAATGTGTTGTACAGGCTGAGGTCTCCTTCCAGGCCTGTCTTCTCATGGAAGAATTTCACGATGGGGACTTTGGCTGTTGTGATGGGCAATATGTTGCGCAGCCCTGAAAGGTAAACCACCCAAAAAGCTAAAATTACACATAGACTTTGCAAAAACACACACAGACTTTGCAAAAACAAACTGTCGCAACAGCCTACAGTAATTAATCTTAGTTCTGTTATCATCTTTGTCTTAATTGCTGCACACAAGCAAGACATCAGTACAAACATACTTCACAAAAAAAAAAATGTAGCTCAGACTACTAGACCAGTAACTCTTAATTGCTCACTGAACCAAGAGTGGTCACATCCACTCAAGGTCGGGTAAGGTGATTACAACAGCATCCACAACCATTCTGGGGAAAGTGCTACAACCACAGACTTCCCATGTCCTTGACAGACAAATACACACCTGGGAGTTTCCTCAAAACTCTGGCAAGGCTTTCTATGATTGCGATGCAGTCAAGTCCCTGACAAGACACAAATGTTTCATCACTAACCAGCAAAACAGTCATGATCAAAGCACAAATCACTAGCTACATAAATCAAGCAAAATCCCTAATTTTGAGTTTAGAATCATGTAACAGGTTGCCCAGCGTGCAAGTTTACACTATATATCAGTAGAATGGGTCACCTCAGAGGTCTCGTGGCCCTCTAGGACCATGCAGATGTCCAGATCACTCTGTTTGAACCCAAACCCATTTTTTGAGGATCCAAAGAGTCTTAACTTGGCCCCTGCAGATTAAAAGACATTTGGACAATGAAACAACAGGATGCAGAAGGGGAGGTTTAGACAACAGCAAACCCATTTCACTTCTCAGTTTTGATACTATTTCAGCTGAAAATTCAACCTATATGTACAGACGCACGCACACACACACTATATGGACACATAACTATTGGGACACAGTTCTTAATAACCGAATTCAGGTATTTCATTCAGACCCATTGCCACAGGTATATAAAGTGAAGCACCTAGGCATGCAGTCAGGCTTGCAAACATCTGTGAGAGAATGGGCCATTCTGAAGAGCTCAGTGAATTCAACTGTGGAGGGCCAAGTGTCTACACTGCAGCCCATTTTGGTCCAGCAAGCTACTGGGGTGAAGTGCTGCTTAGAAAACCTTGTTTGTTTGTTTTGGTTTACTTGCCAGGATAACCCTAATAGTTTATCAAATACATACTGTTCTCCGAACACGCAAAGCAGTCAAAGCATTCAGTGTCTATTTTCCTTATATGCAACTAAACAGTTCCCTGTTCTTTTTATTGGTTTTGAATGTTTCTGACAATCAGGAGAGACAGATACAGATTTTCTGGGTGGGATCACCACATTATCCTGCTGAGCTTACCCTCAAACTGAAGCCTTATAAATTTCTCCAAATCCTGCAGGATGTGTTCTCGAACCTTCTCCTCAACTTCATCCGGTGAAAAGTCTCCTTCAGAGATCAGAAAGAAGCATCAAGAAATCAGTGATGCCTTAAGTAACTGGATATAGCCTTTAATCCACTGAACAGTAAAAATACAGCAGTAATCAAGTGATTTCTCGAACAGTAATCGAGTGATTGTTAACTGTGATCAAATACCGAGTAAAACATGGCACCCTATCCATTCAACTTAGGGAAAGGTGTAACATTCATAAAAAGCTTATAAAAACAACATTTCTTTCTTGAACAACTAATTCCTTTCAAAATATTCAGTAAGCCAGGCGGGAACCACACTGCATGAAAAACCACAACGTATGCCAATGTCCACTCCTGCTAAACTCAATTATTCATTAGAATATACAAAGTTGACCAATACAATTCAACTCTTGTTGAACTGGGCAAGTTTAAGGAATCTGGTAAGGACTTCTTAATAATCAATCAATCGTAACCAAACATAAGAGCAACACTACATCAATGAACATTCCTCTCAGATGACCATGTTAAAATACAGTTAGTACATTTAAACATTCAAGATAATTGCTTGAGAACAATTAAGAAATATCTAAGCTAAACACATTCAATTTAAAAGAAACAAAAGTATTTTTTAACAAATTCAAAAAACACATTTGACTTAACCCTATTTGAATAGTGGCATGTATTCACCCAGTCAGTTAAGAGCTTAGCTAGGATGTAATGCCTGGGTACCCTGCGAACCTCCAGATCAACCAATATCTGCTACAAGCAATTCCATCAACTACAGTTCTGGCACAACACCTGATATCTACTTAGCCAGCTGCTTCACAAGGCAGATGAGCTCTGAATCACAAAAGTAGACCCATCTCACCAGCTACAGAACTGACTAAAATAAAATGCACAACCACTCTATCAGCGGTTCATTTTGTTCCCCCCAGTATTCAATCTGTTACCAAGAAATTAAGCTAAAGCGTAACAAGAATGAAGGGACTGAATTACACAAATTCACTAGTGACCTTGGCATGTAAGAGACAAAGCAATGCATGTATATTTACTTTTCAGGAGGATTTAAGTCTTGTTACCTCACATGAACCAACTCCTCTACATACTACTGCCATTTTCCCCACTACTGAGCCACACACAAGAATGGCATTTTTCCATTACCATCAGAAAGCCCAACTGCAAAATGAAAACAAATACAATAACTACAGGGCTAACATGTCGAATTCTACAACAACTAATCTCAGAGAAGTGTGAAAATAGTGTCAGATACAGAAAAAAAAGAACGATTATGAAGGATTTACTTTGAAGTATCTTAACTAGCCAAATATTGGATTAGCCTGCTTAAAATAATCTGGAAGCCCTGCTCAAAAAAAAAAAAAAAAAAAAGTTAAAAGCACTTTTTAAATTCTTCTCAGATTTTCAGCGACCTGCATGAGGAGACATCGTTTAACCAATCAGGGGACAGGATGTCAAAAGTGTCAAAATGAAGTCAAAACTTTTGATGTGAAAGACAGAAATGGAAAAACCAACCTTCACAGCACGTTTTGGTGTGCCTCAATGATGTAAAGATGTCTTATAACTTTTGTCTTCGGTCAATATTTATAAAATACATAATGACTAACTGCCTGCAAGTTAAATAGGTGTAGTCTGAAATGAGCAGCTTGGACATGCTGATTAATACTTCACATACCGTACTTCTGGTTCAGAGATAGTCACTTACTGTAGCACTGTATGCACACGTCATTAAGAATTCTAAGGAACTTTGGTGTCATAGGAGGTAGAGGGTCAAGCTCAACCCTCTTGAAATCTTCGGGACAGTCGCGCTTCAAGTGGCCATCGTGCTTGCACAGGCTGCACACGATGGTGTGGGACTGGGGAGAGGAGCAAATTACTTTTGGTGACGAAGTCAGCCATGTCTTTCTGCCACTTCCTCACGTACGTCTCACTGTCTAGCAACTCTTACAAGCTATACCTAAGCTAGCAATGATTCTGCAAAGCCTCCTACTTCTGTGTTTGTACAAAGGTTATATTCATCATCACAATCCTTCCACTTACAGGTATTTTAACATTAGCAGCAGATGAAAGACATAATAGAAGCATACAAGTGACTGAATGAAAAGGGCTTGCCACTGTGTGTGAAGCCCTTTAGGGATAAGACAACAGAGCAGATGAATACCTTGCCACGGGTAAAGACCATCTTGTGGAACTTGTATTGCAGATTACGTCCAGGACATTCTAGGGTTTTCGTCAGATCAACTGCATGTGAACTTGGTTCAACTACCATCCCAGGACCATCTCCTTCTTGAACCAGCCTATCTGTATGGAGACCCTCGCCTTCAGAGAGAAGCTCCTCCCCTGACACCATGTCCGATGGGTACTGCTCTTCTTCTGTGGTGAAACTGTCAAGGTGCTGACAGGTGTACTCTTCTTCCTCCTCCTCGTCATCTTCATCAGACTGGTTTGCCTGGCAGGAGGGTTTCTTGAGATCAGCCAGGATGTCATCAGCACTGCCTGAGTCCTCATCCTCTCTATCCAACCCCTCAGGGTCATCGCTATCACCGATCTCCACAGGTGCCTCCAAGTCAGAAGGACTCTCAGTTTCAGGCTCCTGCTCTTGAGGGAAATGGGGTAAATTAGTGGGGTCCATGTCGTCACTCTCATCCATATCTAACGGGCAGTCTTCTTCGACTCTCTCACAGTCACTTTCAGCACTGTCCGCACAGACCACCCCTTCTTCCACATAGTCAGAATCTTCCAGAAAAGATGCCCTTTCTCCCTCAACAACAACGCGAAGATCGCTGGCAACATCCTCACTGTCTGTCTGCCCATTAACCATGGGAGACCTCAAGCTAAGAGTTTTCAACCCCGACTCAAGCAGGAAACCGTCGGCTGGTAATAGGGGGTCAACAGCACAAGGATCCGATTCATCGTAGCTTCTCTCATCATCTTGGTTTCGTTCACCCGAGCTGTGACAGTCTCTGCGTTTCCTCCCTGCCTTCTGATCGATGAGGTGCGATTTCTGCTGTCCCAAGGGCATGGCAAAGTACTTGTAAGTAGTCTTCAGACAGTGCAGGATGTACTCGTACATGACCTGACTGTTCACTGTACGTGCCACATTCCTTTTCACCGCAAAAGGATCTGAAAAGACATTTCATAGACAACTAGAAACTGCTTCAAAGTGTTGCAGGTGGGTGTCATTCCCCCTAAATAATCACTACAGAAAAATTACCTTCTACAGCAATTCTCTTCTTAGACCAGTCCTTGGATTCGCGGAAGCAGACACAGTTCAAGCGGACACTGATGACACGGTTGGCCATGTCAAACTCCAGCGAGTAAAAGCGCAGCATCTCCACCCACAGTTGCCCCAAAGTCACAGAGCGCCAGCGATCATCTTCGAACACCAAGGGCACCTTCGTATGCACAACGAGTCATCGATTACACAGAGGAGAGAAGAGCAGAAGAACATCAGCTATTTCTGCCAGAGATTCTCTCAGCCCCAGACACCTCACACAGCATTAACACATGAACATCAGCTACGCATCATTCATGGGCACCAGCCATACAGTCTCACCTTTCCATTTCTGCAGATCTCCACAGAGGGTGCAGTTTCCTCCTGGGAGGGTTTGAACTCCCAAAGCACATGATCGTTCTCCACACCAGTCAGGTGGAAATGATTCAGTCTGCTCATGGAAAACCCCACTATCTGCTTAGACAAAATAACACCATAAACCCCAATTCTGCTTTTCAAATACAAGTATACCCTTCCTCTGTAAACTTAGTTCTACATCTGATACTTTCTAGACAGAAAGGTAAAAGAGGTTAAGGTCCACAATGAGAGACACATGCCTATGAGGACGCAATGTGAAGCAGGTTAGGATCTACCAACTCACCCAGGACCCCAGATAATTGGGTAGAAGTGGTTCCTTCCGCTGCTGAAGGAAGAAGATAACCATGAGAGCCAACACATATGGGGGAAGTCCGCCTTCCTCTGGATGGTCGATGTGACAGATCTGGGGCAGGGAACAAGAGCAGCACATCAGAAAAGCAGAGGTGACCCCTTAGAGCACACATCAATTATGCAAAAGACTCACCTGAGCCCAGCGTCTAAACCCCACAACTAGGGGGCGCAGGTGCGGTTCTAGGTTGGCCAGTGCTGACAGGTACTCCGTTGTCAAGTAGGCGTTGTCATTGCCTGCACTCACCTTGCAAATCAGACCACTGCACAGAAAAAACAGTTTAAGTGCACAGTGTTCATCAGAGTGGCCACTAAAATTACTAGATACACATCATAATCATAAAAACAACTACCCACCCGACCAGTAGCCTCTTCCTTAACCACAGCTTTGCAAGAAGTATAATTTCTTTGGAATTAAATTATTAAAAACATATCTAAAAATATGAAAGTCACTATCTCCAGTTCCCATACAAGTTGCTCATATTGAACGTACATTTGACTGGATCACACCTGCTTTTTGATATAATCCACCTCAATGACATTCATGCAGAGACTTATTTTCAAAAGTTACATTAATAACATTCCAAGGATAAAATAGTCTGTCAACCCAACACCTTTAATTAATAACTGCTGAAAAATATCACCAAAATAAACTAACCAAGTCAGCTGTGAATACGTCTCAGAAAACAGACTGTACAATTCTTAATGTTTTTTTCCCCATTAAACAGAAAATTAATGCACAGACGCCTTCCTATAGTGGGACACATCAAGTTTCGGGGGGGGGGGGGGGAAAGAAAAACCAACCTTTGCTTTTCTTTGCAAACTACCACAGGAACCCTTGCATGAAAGTCAGCTTCCAGATCCATATAGACAGCTAAAATCAGGCAAACAGATTAAAACTCTGCATCATGCTGTGTCTGTTTACAACCATGGCAAGGAGGAGGAACCATCAACTCACAGCTTTTTGAGAGCGCCTCGTTGACCAGCAAGAGCACGTCAGGTTGATGCATCTGTGTTGGAGAAACGGTTTCATAAAATTTAAGACCTGGTGCAGGACAAAACTCAGTGAACAACAAAAACCTGATGCTAGAATCATGTCTTGCACATGTCCTGCACAATTTCTGACAATAAGAGGTCAATTGTTTAAAAACTTGTATGACTGGAGTCCTGCAATTCTTTTACTCTTCAAAACCCGAATGAAGAATCAATAGCTCAATGGCAGACTGGTCTCAAAGATTTTAGGAATCACATGTGTAGACGCTAAAAGTGCCACGGTATTACTCACATGAGGTGGGAACTGGATGTCTATGTTGACATCTGAATCTTTGAAACCAAATTTAGTGCAAGAGGATCCATATAACCTCAGTGAGCATTCTAAAAACAAAGAAAGTGTTTTAAAGTTACCGTAGCCCAGATGACTGGGAGAAACATGACAGAAGGCCGGCCCCCTACCAGGCAGGTCTGCTCTGATGGCCTCCTCCATCGAAAAAACGATACGGTGCCTCATCTCCACATCTTTATCATCTAGACCATATTCCACCACCTGTTTCTCAATGGTGATGCCTACAGCTTGGGTCTGAGCTTCTTCTGGTGGTGGGATCTCTATGAGGAGCATCTCCTCAAGCCTGTCCTGGAAAGACCAAACCAACAAAGCAGAGTCACTCACAGAGGTCCACCCACTGCATTCTCAATGCCCCAACCAGTGGTTCAAGGAAGACTTCAGAAGATGTAAAGAAATGTCAAATATGATATCATGCTGCCAACAAAGCCTGGGAAACAAGTTGAGGATGACAGCAATACTATCATACTGGGCACAGAGTCATCTAGATGAGTTCTTTGAAGGGGGTGAGGTAAGGCATGGAAGGTTACCCGGGATCGCTTTTTGTGGAATCTCTCTTTCAGGTGTTTAAGGGCGACAGACAGGGACTCCAACAGCGCGTCACACAGGTTACAGTGGTACCGAGCCTTAGGATTGTTCCGAGAACGCTGCAAACACACAACATGGCAGAATCATACCGGGCCTGTCAGGTGACGTCCCAGCTAACATATTGACAGTTACCTATGTGGAGGAGGAAGAGATGGTGACCCCTTCCAGAGAACTCACGTTTCTAAGTCGGAAGATCCCTTCCTTGCCAATCCTCTCTTCAACCCGACGCTCCTTTTCTGAGAGAGCCGATATGTCAGTCACATGAGCTCCTCCGTCCTCATCTCTCTCACTGTGATCTTTCCTCCGCTGCCTCATTCTTCGTTTGTGCCCTATAAGAGAAGCAAAAAAATAAAGCAAGCACTGGGTACAGATACTGCTCCCACCAAGAAATAATGGGAGCAGATCATATTTATTAGTAATACTACCTGTCACATTAACCAAATTCTATGAAAATAATTCAGTTTTAAAAACCCAAACATGCTTATGGTGACCCCTTAGGCTGCTATACCTGAAGCATGAGAATCCGGGTCCCAGTTTATCAAATCCTTAAGGTGCCGTTGCCTATTCCCTGCTTCCAGTGGCCTACCCAAGTCTTCACCATCCTCCTGGAAGGCATTCTTCCTCCAGCTGCCTCCAGAAGGATGTTCTCTCCAGTTTTTCTCTTGCAAGTGGGGCGTCTCTAGAATAGGAAATTTCCGGAACCCCTCTCTGTGCTCATACCTGTTCCTGTAGCCACCCCTACCAAACTCACGTGGACTGCTGTTCGAGGGACTGTATCCACGGCTTCTGGGACTGTTGCCAATGATGATGGCCATGCCCTTCTTATCATGAAAACCCTTCTCGGGCTTACGGTTGTAATTTCTACTGTATTCCAGATCTTCGAAACGAATAGGACTTCGCCAGCTCTCTGGGTCTTCTGAAACATTGCTCCGCTCCTTGCTCTGCTTTGACTTGCGCTTCTTTCCGGTATTTTCCATTGGACCTTTGTATTATGCCTGGGATTTAAAAATTGAAGTAAACAAACAGCAACTGGGTCGAGCGTTATTTGACAGATATAAACCAGGAACAAGAGGAAACACCTCTAATGAAAAGCAAATTCATTTAAGAACACTGTACAAATAATGCTTAAATTCATTAAGAGAAAATTCAGGACTATAAACAAAGTCCCGAAGTATCTAACTCCAATAGCGTATAATCACGGCTAATACATTCAACTCACATTGAATAAAATTTACGTTAGTATCCATCGATGCGCCTAATACATTTTAACGTGAGAACAAATTCTAATATTAAACGCCACGTTAAACGCACGTTATATCTTAAAGGGTATCCTTTTTTAGAAAAAGAACACAACTTCATTACATCACAACCCCGACCTATGAAAACCTAGCTTAATAGCAAATTGTAGCAACAACGTGTTAACTTGTAAATTAAGGCAATAAATATTACTAATAATTAAATTAAAAACGATCTGTTTTAAGAGCCTATAAATGACGCCAAGCAGGTCTCTGCGTCCCCAGCCTTAAGCCGGGACGCGACCATGGCTCGGCAGCTCGCTTACTAGGCCGCCCACTCCTCCAGATTAAAACCGATGGGTTGTTCGCAGGAAACAACTAAATGTGGCGACCGAAAATCTCGCCGACCCTGGGCAAAGACGGGGTGCTGGATATTACAGCCACTATGCTTCCGAGGTACCTGCTCAGCCGGACCGCGCACGGCGCCGAATACACGGTCAGCCAGTACGCTGGACGGCTTTGCTTCGCTTTACTTCTCATCTTTATATAAAAGAGCAATCTGGCTAACAAAGCATTAGTGAAAACGTGATATACCTTCAACCCTACACAGTCAAAAGGAAACAAATTTGCGGTGACATTCAACGCTTGTCGCCAGTGCAAAGTACCTGTACTGTCAATTTCCGTATGGACTGCATGCTAGTCTTGTTGCTTCAGAAAAAAAGCGGCTAGCTGCGGCTTTAACATCCGGACCGAACCCTCCCACACGCTAACGAAACTGGCTTTCGGACTAGCTCTCCACGGATAGCAAGGCAGCCTGCGGGCCTGCACGTTAATCCAGTAAGGACACTAGGAGCTGATTTGCCGGCTGTAGGCTAACGTAGCTAATTGCGTTATTGCGTTTCTCCAGTCTGAACAGAAGAGGGCGAGCGAGCATCACACTGTTCCGGGATTCGTGCATCCCAGTTGCGTTGTCAACTGTTCGCGGCGCAGTTTGTTGCTGCGCAAAAGGACACTCAACATTTAAAAATATATGCAGATGAACCTATTCATGGGGAAAAATCGTGAGCATAGGAATAGAACAATTTTATAAAAATGTTCACTTGTGACTATATGTCTAGTTCCATTGTTAGTTTCTTAATTACTATTTCAATTGTTTCATATAAAAATAATAGGGCTGTTGCTAACTACTATTTTCCCTATCACTAATCTATCGACTATTACCGATTGGTCGATTAATCTAAACGATTAATTTCCATTTCAGTTGATTTTGACAAAAAACAGTCACTGCAGGGCTGTAGATTATGGACGCCGGCTTTTCGGCACTATACTGGAGTTACTGACGCCCACAATTCAATAAGCAGAATAATAGTACGTTTAAAATATTAATGAGGCACAAAAGTTAGTAATCTGTATGAATTCAGTGTATCATTATACTGTACTTAAATGTGATTAGCGGAGTACGCCACATGGGACTGTTTTGTTATACCATGTAAGCCAGTGGTCGCCAACCCGTCGATCGCGATCGACTGGTAGATCTTTATCACTGTCCCGGTAGCTCCCGAAAATAAAAACGTTTTCAGTTTTGCAAGCATCTGTATCTCTTAATCCAACTGCTTTATTTTCAATGAAGTGACCAATCAGATAAAAGAAGAGCACCCGTAAATTAACTGTCGCAAACGTCAATATGGATCTCCATGGTGATAGCCCGCGCGAGGTAACATACTACAAACTAGAATGGCGAAAGAAGGCAACATACAATTTTCATCCAGAATGGGAACAGGAATTTCTGTTTACCTTGGTAAAAGAGAAGTGTGTATGTATATTGTGCCACCAAAAACAAGCATTATGTAAAAGAGGGAATCTGGAGCGGCATCACAATACCAACCACCCGAAATTTAAAGACCGCTACCCGCAAAAGAGCGCGATTCGTGCACGGAAAGTTGACGAGCTGAGATCTGAGTTGAAGGCCCAGCAATCACTTTTTACAAAATCTGCTGATCAAAATAAGGCTGCTACTGAAGCATCGTTTCGTGTAAGTTGGCATTGAGAAAAGTGATGTTGCATATGATGGGACATAACTGCACTTAGCTTAATTTGAGATTGTTGATAATTTTGTTGATAAAACAGTTCATTTATAAGGTAGGTAGTACCGTCAGAAACTTCAGTGAATAAGCACTTTACTGCTGACAATGGCATTTTTCTTGAGTTCAGTGCCACTTCATATGATCTGATTATATGATGGTTGCTTCCGAGTTAAGTAGAAAAAGAAAAGAACATTTAATGTATATTAAATTCAAATACAATTCAAATACTAAATAAAAGGCCTCAAGTTGGAAGTACAATCTGGGCTGTCTTTTTCTATCTATTCTTCGATAGGTAGATCTTGCCTTTCATTAAGGCCGAGGTCAGGGATCTTCGGCTTGAAAAGGTTGGTGACCACTGATGTAAGCCATAAGCACCGAAGTTGCGGTGAAGAAAGGGACAGTTCAGCATCCATGACATCTTTTAAAGAGATTTAAAAAAATTAAAACTAAGCAAATTAAACAATAATGGTAACTTGAAAAAAACATGAATAGAAAACAATTACGGTGGTCTTGCTTATTCTGGCGGTCGATAGAACAGCACCTGCGTGTGTTCTCTTCAGTTCTTCATTCATCTTGCCAATGCTGCTGTGGTATACCATAGAAACCTTGCAGTGTACATACTACCTTTTTGTTCTGTGGTAATTTAAACTACTCCTATAATTACGTAGTAATATTGAAGGAAATATTTTTTATAATTAATTATAAATCAAAAAAGGGTAATTTCATTAAAATTATTTTAATATCAATGCTTAGATGTAAAATATTGATGTCGTCGACGTCATTGACTATGTCGACGAATCGCGGCAGCCCTAAAAAATACTCGACGCATGCTTGTGAAGCACCGGTTCAGATAGGTTACATCCATAACGCCATTTTTCAATTCTTTAAAATCACAAAGTTTGTATAAGATGATATAATGCCATGTATCTCTAATATTTAAATTAATGTATGAATTTTGAGGATTTATCTATATTCTAAATGAATCTAAATGTCAATTCATAATGCTGGAACACCCAAATATAAAAATACAGGATTGGATTTGTTCCAGTCCTACGTTAATTAAAATGCATGCAATTCAATGTTTTGGCTTATGCAATATGTAAAGCCCTGAAAAATCACTTGCATCTATAAAAAAACACTAAACATATAAGGGTTATAATGTTAGAGCTCAATAAAACCATCATAACATAAGAAAGGAATAGCACTCATCGATTTCCTGCAGAAGGAGGAAAGGAGTGCACACTGATACAGCACATTGCCACACCCACCACATGAGGAACCTCCTCAGGCATGAGAACTTAAGTGCAGCAGTGCGATGCCTCAGCACCACACCAGTATGAATGGAATGGACAAGCATTAAGTTTTTTCTGGTGGCTGGAGTGCCAATCCGGCCACCAACCCCCAATTTTTCCCTGAAAGTTGCAGGATCTGCTTGCAAGGCTGGATGTAGGTTAATGTCATACCCAGGACTAAGCAATTGCAGGTTAAGGCCCTTGACACCCCACGGAAGACATGGTATCTAAATGACACATCAGTACTTTAATATTGCCTTTGAAAGGCCGCACTGCAATCACAGTTTGTACTTGAATGCCAAACTGCACTCCATATTCAATATCATTACTTGGGTTTATATTCGTTTGTGTGTGACTGTTTTTAGTATAATATTTTATAGAAATGGGCTGGTCTTAAAGAAAACAAAAGTGGCATACAAGAAATGCATCTGTGTGAAACTGGAAGCTGAAGGAAAACAAATTACCTGTGCACCTGGTTTGGGCTTCAAAGGATTTGATGCTATTTTTAATTGTTAGACAATAATAACATAGCCTGTGAAAAGCAAGGTACCCAATGTCAAGGGCTCCCTTCCTTTCTGAGGCACAGACCTGAAACTCAAAACAAACAGGTCTGCTTTATTTTATATTCGTTTGTGTGTTTTGTATGGCAGAAAAAATGCAATGGTGTCAGTATTGTTTCATGTCAATATCATTAGTTGGATAAAGTTGGACAGGCAGTGGAAAAAGCTGAATTAGGTTCATTGACCGTGATTAAGACACCATGTAACATCTACTATGTAACACTAAAATATCTTTAAAAAAAAAATCGCAAATGTAATAAAGTTCTAATATTTCAGTCTTACGAGTCCCTTAATTTCGTTTTTAAGAGTGACCAAAACAGGTAACAGAAGTAAACATTAACACTTCTGATTTCTTATGCAAGTCAAATAGATACAAAGGAAAGTTTGGGAGACTAAATAAGCCACCGACATCGAGGCAGCAAGGGGTCCTGCTGACAGCTGGACCTCAGTCTGTTTAAGTAATTAATTACACACTACTTTGCCGATAATGTACAGCCCTCCGGTCTAACGGTTTTCCGTTAATGAGTGGGCTACATTCATTGTTCTTTCAAACACCCGCAACGAGGTGCAAGATCAACTCCCTGGGGGAGGTCTCCTTCCCTCGGTTCTGCGCGCCATTGGCTCACTCCTCCCTCGGAGCGCCGAAGCCTCTCAGGGTAGACTTCCACTATGCACTCCGCATGCCCGTCCGAAGACACGGAATAATATTATAAGGGGGAAACTATATATATATATATATATATATATATATATATATATATATATATATATATGCGCGCCATATTATATGTACTGTGAGTAGTTTAACGTTTTAACATGCATGTTACGTTTTAAGTTCCTTTTTGTTGTTTATGCGTTGCCAGGGGATAAGAGGGCATAAATGGACCGCGGTACCCCGAATAAAAAAGGGATACACCTCCCCCGCCTCTTCGTCGCTGTGGCAACACCCAGACGCGCGGAACCTTGCTGTGCAGGTAATAGGATCCGGCGAATTAAGTTTGCGCTGAGCGCTGTTTAACCCGGGAAACCCTTCTGGCCGAATACGTCATCCAAGCCCTTACAGCTGCCAATCAGAAGACAGCGATGTGATGTCAATAAACGCATGTGATATCTTGCGCGATTTCACAGTCTGGGGGTTCAGGAGCACCAGTAAGGGTGACACTACTTGTGCAAGATGGTCGCCTTTACGCACGGAAATGGTAGTACAGAAGTAAACAAATCTGGCATTTTTAAAAGGAAAAGAGAGCCAAATTCCCCAGAAAAAGACGACGTAACGCCGGAGGACCGGCGTGAAGCAGTAGTTATAAACTGCGCAATTATGTGCGCACCAGTAAAAAAGCCCAGGTGTTTCAGGCATCGAGAGCAAAAAATCGAATCCACGTTGAACGATTCGGGTTTTGAAGAATATCTCTTCCTAAGTCCCAGTCTTTCCGAGGGTTTGATATATCACTGTCCGCAGCCGGATGTTCAGACCTCGGACCGGCTGTTAGCAGACTGGCAGAATTTCATGGACTACGGGGAGAGCTGCTACAACATTCAGAAACTTAACGAAACCGATTTTATACCTATTAATTATATGTCTCGTCAGCCGCAGGTGAGTACATTATACTTAGGTAAACTCATCTTTTGGGAAGGTTAACTTAATTTATGTCCATATTGCGCTGGAAAACAAAAATGGTACAGACACATGCCTTTTCCCATCAGGTCACACCAGAAGCGCGTTGCAGATTGGTGAGCTGGTTGATTCCCGTTCATAGATACTTCAGACTGTCTTTTGAGTCCTGCTGCCTCGCCGTAAATATTATGGACCGCTTCCTCTCCACCACCCCGGTGGCGTCGGACTGTTTCCAGCTGCTGGGGATCACATGTCTGCTAATCGCCAGCAAACTGGTAAGTAGCATTCTCATTGAACGTGAAGAGTGATGTAACAACAGTGGCTACCACAAACATTTTTGTTTGAACTGCTGCTCTTGTTTGCATGCGTATAAGACTTTATATTACTGGACCATTGGACTAAAATATGCTTAATGTGAAACGCCTTAAGTGAATGTAAAATGTTCGTACTGCCGTTAATATAAAATAAAAGTGTATAAATAATCTTGGTGTAACCGATAATAAAAAATACATTGAAATTTATAATCAGAAATTGCACTTGTGGTTATACACTATTATTACCTTTTCAGGTTGAGGTCTACTCACCTCAGATTAAACAGCTTCTTGCCCTGTGCTGCAATGCTTTCACAAAAGATCAGCTATGTAACCTGGAGTGCATAATCTTAATCAGACTGAAGTTCAGGCTTGCAGCTCCAACAATGGCCTTCTTCCTTGATTATTATACAAACCGGCAGCTTGCAGCTCAGACTTCTCCAGAGCAGGGTCCTGCTGGTCACCGGGAGGAGACTGAAAAGCAGGTATCCACAGGTATGGATACTGGAGGAGACTTGGACAATCCGTTCCCCTCGGATACAGGTGAAGAGGTGGAGGGTCCCTGTGCCACAGGTGTGGGAGAAGACGTCAGCAGGCAGAGCCACAGTATGGCCGCAAAGAGTAAAATCCTTGCAAGGACAATATGTGAACTGAGCCTGGCTGACTATGCTTTCGTCAGGTACCCTCCGTCAGTCCTGGCACAGTCTGCCGTAAAGTTGGCAGAGCACTTGCTGGGCAGAAGGCAGCAATGGGACTCAAAACCAGAAGAACCGAGTGTGGACCCCACCTTGCACCAAGAGTGTGGTGACAACATGAGGCTTCTGGTGTCCCTCAACCAGGAAGTCCTGCACACCATGTCTGGGTTTTGACATCATAGGAAGCCCCTTGACTAGTGTCCCTTCATTTCAGCAGTTTATCTATTGACTGTAATACCTATAATTTATTCAGTAATTATGTTAATATTGTATGGATGAATTTATTTCTCCCACAAATGCATTGTATACTACACAGATCTTCTGAGAAGAGCAACGAGAAGTATTATTTAATGCAGTGTTCTGTTACCCTGGCTAGTGTTTGACTAGTCTTTTTTATTGTTTATGTTGATCTGGAGACTGGCTGTCTCGAGATCATTGTTGCAAAGCAAAATTCAAATGAACTCTGTGAACATCGGTACAGTGCACATTTTGAATGTAGAAAATGAATGTGATGTGAAAGAACTTTAATAAAACATCTCATAAGCAAAAATGAAAGTTGTCATTCCTTTCTTGGTACTGTCATAGTACAAAAAAAACTAACTATACTAGTTATGAAATTCAATTTACGGTAGATACCTTACAGGGTGGCCAACTCTCACGCATCTTTCAGACTCACACTCACGCAAGAAATCTTACGGCAAATATGTATTATTCCATTATAAACCTAAAATGAGCTAAATCAAAAGCGTTGGGGCAGTTTAAAAACCCTACAGACTACTTACAAGGTAATAAAACTGTTGCATAAATGCGTGTGCATGCGTGCAGACTTGTTTCGAATGTCACTTCATCCAGTTGACCATAGTTGACAACCCAGCCTTACCAATTGACAACACTAACAGAGGTTGCAAACTGTGATTAAAATCAAAACACAACAGATATGAACAGCCTATGTAATGTTTATTAACCTTCCAGTTGTATTAAGCTACCAAGAGCAGGGGCCAGTATCACGAAGCAGGATTTCTTGCGTAGCCAGATGACTTGTCAGATTTAAGGTACGCCAGTTTAAATGAACTGCATGTTTGTTCACTCACTATTAACACATACTACCTTAAATCCGTCAAGTTATCCAGCTAAGCAAGAAATACTTTGTGATATATGCCTTTGTAGCTATGCAAGCTATGTAATTAAACTTTTGCGAGGTTCTCCAGGTAATTACGTCCTATTTCCTCTAATTGTCCCTTTAAATTGAACCTAAAATGACACGCTCTCTCTTCAATATGCGCCCACTCATTGTTGATTTCCTTAAAAAAAAACATGCTCCACAGTTAAACAGTTAAAGCCTTTTAATATAGGCTGTCTTTGGTTGAACATTAGGCTTATTAAAACACCCATTGCTTTTCGTTTTCATATGCACTTCCCTTCAAAAGCAAACGTGGAAACTACTTAAGTGGGACTACTGTGCTGTCTCCTTTTTACCACATTATAACCAGCGTCTCCCCACTTTTATTATCGAAATACTCCGTTCCCTATTTTAATTGCCCTTAAGTACCCTTTATATAGGCTATATAAAGGTTAAAGTATACAAACCCAAACTCAAAAATTTAATCTTCATTTCGATTGTTGAAAAATGAATCTAAATATGGTTGCTATCATAAACTCAGCTTTTTTGTTATGGCCAACATAAAGCCGTTGAACTGGCGCCGTCGAAGTCAGAACGGCGCAAATTGTGTGTGTAATACTCAGAGCCGAACAATGCGGCGCAGCGGGGCTTGATGCTCCCGTGTGGTTGGCACACTTTGCCCGCTGTTAGGCGCCACCTCTGGCGCTCTGATTGCTTTATGAAGAGACAGACCGAGTTTTCCCACTACCTGTAACATCTCTAAGGACGCTTTCCCTTGGAGATTTAGAAAAACCGCTGCGATTGGACGGAGAGCATTTAATGTATCTACAATTTTCTTCAACCACTGGGGAAATAAATAGCTGCCCTAACTGAGGGTCATTTTATTTTAGGGAAACTTGACATGCTGTCGTTGAATGTCTCCAACATAAATCATGCATAACGAACGAAAGGCTTTCGGCAGAATCTGCCCCAATAGGATGGGAAACTCTCCCTCTCGGAGTCAAGACAAGAAACTTACCAGATACGATAATAGAAAGGTATGGAAACAAAACGCAATTCCCCCGCCACGGTCATTGGAAGGTTATGCTGTCTTTGTTTCTGTCTATAAATCTCTTTGTCCCCTGTCCTCGATGAAGTGCACGAAAATCATAAAGAGCAACTCTACAGTCCCCATTTACGTCGAAGAGACTCCCAGTATCGTTGACCAAGGTAGGCGTTATGACATACGTTTGTTTAATTTGTTCAATTTCTATGTTCACTTATTAATTATACAGTGCATATTTATTTGAGTAGCTGGTTAATTAATCATTTATTATGACTGGTAGCCTTTGCAACGATCGCATGGCAAGATTTGGGGGACTGTTCATCGGTGCTGAGGCGCAGGGATGTCAGTAAAAACATACAGGTAAGACCCTTTAATTGCAGGCTGCAATTGCGAAACACTTAGGCTACCTGTATGACTGGGACACTGGTTGCTTCCAGTCAATTTGGAAAATTCCACACACACTGCAACCTGATCAGCTTTAATTTACTATAGTAAAACTGGTTAAATTCATTGGATTGATGCTATTTTTTGCAGTCGTAACATACTGCAAGTGTTTCCAAAGATCCTGAATAAAAAAGCCTTCGAGTATTAACCATAGAACATATCGTTTAAGGACATGTGTAACTATTAAGAACTGATTGCTGATAGTGTAAACGGACAATGTTTGATGAAACACGCTGGGCTCACGTTGCACGCTTTTGTTAATGTTTGACACTTTGCACAGTGGTGTGTGCAGGAGTGTGCAGGAATGTGCAGGGCAGGCTGTGTGGTTGGCCCGTGCCGCTGACCTATAGCATGGCGGGGGTTCTGGGGGGTACATTAGAACAAGCAGCAGCATCCCTGGAATTTACTGCCGATGTACTTCACTATATCTGTCCCACCACACTGTGGATGACTCTTACATCGGAATTCATGATCAGTTATTCACCAGATAGCACTGTCGACGGGATTTTGGCAAAATATTCGCTGATTTCATAAGCTGTTCAACATGGCGATTCAAACCAGCCTTTATCTACCTTTGTCATATATGGAATATGGTGTTCAGGTAACATATGCCAGTTAAAAAAAATAGTAAATGTTGATTTCTGCGCGGCTTGGATTATATTCACAATTAAAGCAAACCGTTTATGTATATGTCATATGTTGTGTTGTATTCAGGAAGACACGTTGCGATACGATTTTCAAGACTTCGAGGATTGTGCTATCAGCTTTATGCCAGGTGAGAATCGTTATGAATTCCATTAGATGGATAATTATTACTTAGGAAAGTGAAATGAATGTTTTAATAATGTTTTAATAATTTAGTACATTTCCTTTATTTTGCTTTGGAAATCAGTTAATTTTTCCCACAGTGAAGTATATAAATTCAACCACAATTTAAAACCTTTTCTGAATAATACAACGTGTCTGAGAAAATGAACAGCATATTTCCAATTTATGATGTATTATATAACATGTAGTATATTACCTTTTACCCATCCTATCTTGTATAGTCAATTGCAGTTTATCTAAATAAGCTTATGTAAATAGCACTAGTGACATAATGTTTTTTATGTTGCATGTCAGCTGATTCTAGTGTAGTCATCAGTCTCTCTCCTCTCCCAGAATCCCCTGACCTCGAGGCAGGCTTGATTCCCAACAGTCTACTGCTCAGTGATATTCAGGAGTGTGCTGCGCTGCCCGTACCATCTCTCCAAGATGGCACCTTGCAGGACTGCCTGCCATACCCGTCTGCAGGGCTCCCTGAACCCCAAAGCCAGCTACAGCCTCCAGCTCTGGCTGAACATGACTGGAGATGCCTGGCTGACCAGCATCATCTGGCCCTAGGAGACGCTTTGGAGGCCAACAGCCAGGTGTCTCACCTGAACTACTGGAGGCGGCGTGTTTATGTCGACATCATGAAAGAATGAGAATGTGGCACATAGACTTCTCACTGTTGTTTTATAATGGAGGGTTTTGTGTTCTATTTTACAGCTGCATCTTACACTAAACGAAAGGAAGGAAGAAATTGCATCACTACAGGAGCAAAACATACAACTGAAGGAACTGGCCAACCAGGCGAAGCACCTGGCCTCCGTCCTTGATGTAAGTGTGCCTGTAATGTGAGCGCATGCTTTCCCAGATGTTGTTTGTAAACGTTGATTATGTATAAAATGTTCTCTCAATCACTGATTCTCACTGCAGTATTTATCTATCAGAGTTAGTTTTAATCAGCACAGTATCTAAAGGACAAATACAGTTTTGAAACCTTTGAATATTTAAGCATCTTTGGTTTAAGGATGTCACTGTTTAGGGCAGGGGTGGCCAATCTTACCCGCAAAGGGCCGGTGTGTATGCAGGTTTTTGGTATAACCTGTAGGTCAGCTGTTCAAACCCAGGTATGTGGACTCTTCAGCCAATCAGTCCTCTAATTAGTAATCTGATTAGGGAGTTGCAGCGAAAACCCGCATACACACCGGCCCTTTGCGGATAAGATTGGCCACCCCTGGTTTAATGGGTGGAGTTGTGTCGTGTTTTTGCTATTAAATGAAACATCACTAGATGGCAATGTTGTGCCAAAGACACATTTTCACGAATCACGGGAGCGATTGGTGAGAATTTGCTCTCCCTTTCTGTAGAGGTTGATGACTGCTAGAGAGGAGCAGGCTGCACATTTTGTTCCACCTGCCAGTGACTCTCCACTGAGATGTGGCGCTAAGCGGAGGAGGCTTGAGGACCAGAATGACCTGCATTCCAGCTGTGAGGACATGGACGACATCCTGAGGGACATAACAGAGCGTTGCAATGCCATGCTGCGGAGGGACACCCCACTGCCGGCCACATGTCAAGAGGAGAACGAGGAGGTGGCTAGCCCCCAGGACATGGAGGGCATTAACATGTACGGATCATTCGCCGGGATAAGGACCTCTACTCCACGGAGACACACTCATATGGAGGGCGGAGTTGTGGAAGAGGACTCTGCATTCAGGACCTCCATCAGGGACCACTGTACTATTCGAACCCTGACTTTTCCCCAAGGGCACGCCTTCACCTCCACCACGCCCCAAGGGGGGTACAGGTTCCGATGGGTCCCCAATTAGGGCAGACAGCCAGCTAGCTACATTATCCAGAGCACCAGCACTTGGGCACAAGTCCGTGTGTGGGTAGCATGCACTGCCACACTTCATAAAACCGTCCTTCTGGAATGCATGAAACCCTTTTCTGCTCAGGATTAGAATGCCCTTTGGAAAGGGATATTTAGGGAGAGAAGAACTTCGGAATTCCTCTTGTTAATCTGAATTACATATTGATTTATACTATTCATTTGTTGCTACATTTGTAATGATTTACTTTTAAATAGCTTTTATACTTTGTCTTTACCTGTTATTTTATAAAAAAAAATATC